CCGCGGCCGCCTCCAGCCCGAAGCGGGGGCGACAGGCGCTCAGCAGCCAGAGGCAAAGCGCGGCGGCGGCGCTCGGGTCCATGGGCTCCGCGGCTCCGGGAAGTCCCGGCGCCTTTGAACATAGTGTTTAATAACGGGCAGTGTGGCCGCGAGCCGCCGCCCCTCCTCGCCCACCCTCCTGGCCCGCAGCGCCCCCTGCCGCACGCTCCGGCCGCGCGCTCTCGCCCCGCGGGTGTCCCGGCCCCGGGCTCCCGCCTCCCGTCCCGGCGCGCGCCCCTCGGCTCGGGACCCGCCGTCGCGCGGCCGCCAGCCTCTGGCCCCCTCCTCCGCGCCCGGTTCCCCAGGGCCACAGACGCCTCCGTGGGGCGGCGGGAGAGCTCGGCCACCAGGGGAGAGAGCTCGCGCGCACGGGGAGGCCGCCAGGGCACGGCGCGCGAGCACAAAGGCGCGTCCTCAAACACGGCCCCGGGCACCCCTGTCCCACCGCAGCCCTAACGATTGGAGCGGGCGGCCGAGACGACAAACCATTGGAAGGAAAGGGTCCAAGCCCTTTAAGGAGTTCGAGAAGTGCAAGGGCAGCTAGAGCCGAGTCCTCTCGTCCTGCATGTGGCAACCTTCCGCCTCCTGCTCTTCAGGGTGGCGCCGTCTAACTGAAACCAGCTACTGGTGTGTCCTGGTGGCCAGAAGCCAGGAGGGCGACCACGTGGAGCCCCCGGGTGGCGCCCAGGTGCATGTCGGGAGGAGGGTGGAGAGGGGACCCAACCATAGCTGGGAGGGGAGGATCCTGCAGAGGGGACCCTCGGAGAAGTGAGGCTGCTGGCGAGTGTCCGCTCAGCCTCAGCCAGCCAACTCCCAGCGTCTGGGCAGTCCGAGTGCCTGGGCCTGCGGATCCCCAAAGAAGGTTCCTTTCCTTTAAAATCGCATCTGCTAGGGAGCTTGAGATCCAGGCTAGGGCGGGCGTTGTGACCACTTGGAGCTGGTGACCAGCGTAAGCATGGGTCCCAGAGCTCGCTGGGCTGCCCCCACTCTGACCCACGGAAGAGGCCCGGACAGGCTCCTGAATCCACTGAGTGGCCATTTCGTCCCCAGCAACCTCTCCAGCACTGCTACCGGCCAGCGCTGGCTCGCCTGGGGCTTCGAGCCACCAAACGCTCAGGTTGTTTGGGGTTGGAAGAAGAGCCTTGCAGTCAGTTTGGAAGAGGAGAAAGCCCCAGGATAGTGAGAGAGGCTGGGCTGGGCAGGAAGGTGGTCCTGGGCCGATGTCTGGCTGCCTACAGTCAGAGTCTTCCAGGGACCAGAACTGGTGCCCAGGGGCAGATGGGCTGGCTGGGGTGACCGGCAAGGCCCTTGGTCACAGGCTGCCCAACACACGGGCCAGCACCGTCCTTCCAAGGCAGCCCCTCCAGCATGGTGTGGGGCACGCTCCAGACTGCACCACAGTCTGAGCCAACGCCGGCCCTGCACTAGGCCTGACTTGGCCGTGACCTCCGCCAGCGAGTCCCTTGCCTGTCTTGGCTTCTGTCTCCCCAGCTGTAAAGGAGAGCGGAGGCCTGGCAGGTCTTGGCACGGTGGCTGACAAGTGCTTTCTGATTACACCAGGACACCCCTGGCCTGAGGCCGCGCTGGGGCTGAGGAAGAGGGATGGACTCTTGTCCTTTCTGTCCTCCGTGGCAGCAGGCCACATCACGTTCCTGAGACTGAGTTTCCTCACCTCGCCCTAGGCAGTGTTTGTGTGCCTGGCATCCAGCAGGTGCAGAGCAGGCCCAGTCCCAGTATGTTCTGAGGTCCAGGGTGACAGTGGACACTGGCGGGCTCTGGAGGACACTGCCTGAGGAGGCTGGTGCTGCTGCCCGGGACCCAACCTCCCCGACCTATTTCTTTGCGCCATGAAGGCAATCAATGATCCTTCCCTCCTTCTCTTCATGTCTTCTTTCAGGTAAATCTTATCACCAGGTTCCCTTAGGAGATGCAGCCTCAGTAATGCGCAGGACAGATGCAGAGTCTCGGTGGACAGGAGAGACAGTAACCGTGAGAGCCCAGAGGGCTCAGGGGGCAGCCCCAGGACTGATGGGAGCCACCCAGAGGGAGGGCAGAGGTCAGAGAGGAGGCAGCTGGAGGGTGTGGGGCCGTGCCAGGCTCCCTCCCCACCATAACCAGCGATTTAGCCTTCTGTTATCCACCCACTGCTCTACACAGCCCATGGCACTTCAGCGGCGCAACTGCCCTACCCTGTGAGGTAGACATTATAGCTCTCATTGTGCAGGAAAATTGAGTCAAGAGAAGTTCAGTGCCTTTCTTGAGGTCACTTGAGACGGACAGAGCCTGGAGTGGCCACAGTCTTTGCCCGGGATGGGACGGTGAGGGGCCTTGGCCCCCCAACTCCCTCCCCAGCCCCAGCGGAAGCACAGTGCTCCCGCATTCCCTCCTGGGCCCCCTGGAAGGTTCTCGGCAGAGAAAGGAACCCTGGGGTTCCTCAGAAGATCATGGAAGTGTCCCAGGGGACACCTTCCGGCCACTGCTTTCGGCTGGGAGCTCACAGCACGGGCCGTGGGAAAATCTGTCCTATCTGCAACAGGGCCCGCCTGTGACTGGGATCCTGCAGCCCAGGATGAGCACCCTCTGCAGTGGAGACGAACTGCACACTCCCTGTCTGTCTGACATCCAGCCCTCCGGCTCCAGCAGCGTCCTGGGTCCTGGACTGCAGAAGCGAGCCTGGCTCCAACAGCCCTGGGCCAAGGCAGGTTAGGGCCCACCTCCCCACCTCCAGGTCCTTCTGTTGGGGACTCTGGCGTGCATCCTCGCCTGCGGAAGCTGGCGGCTTTCTCTGAACACCAAGTCCAGATTCCACCACGGAAACCAGGATGTGAAAGAACCCGCAGGGTTATGTAGACTCCCATGCCATGCCAGGGTCCTGACACAGTGTTTGCTCTCTTGCCCTGGGTTCATTTGCATCCCAGTTTTCCGCAGCCTGGATTTGAGGCAGCTCTGCGCTCTGTACCTGTGAGAGTCACGCCTCTCAAAGGGAGCCTGCACCCTGGGGGGAAGCGTGTCACCTGGCTCGCGTACTTACAAGTTAGATCTGCATCCTTCAAGCTAGACAGAACTGAGGCACGGAGTTCACCCCCTTGCCATGGTCACCTGCTGAGTGGCAGAGAGCCCACTTAGGCAGAGAGCCCGCCACTTAGAAGGGGTCTTGGATCGTGCCAGCTGCAGCCCCATTGATGACCTGCAGATACTGGGCCTTGGAGTGGCCCAGTGGCAGCCTGCTCTGCCCCGCCCGAGTATCCTGCCGCACCCAGGCAGCCAGGCAGCCTGCTCTGTGGCCCACACTGTCTACAGGGGGAGGTGGAGTCTCCAGCACCCATCTCTGACAGTACAGCCATGCAGGGCCTGGGCCCCTCCAGTGAGCCTAGGTCTCGGCTCAGCACCATGCATGGCCTGCAGGTGAGGGGTGCTGGGTCAGCCTGTGCCACCTGTCTCCTGCTGGGAGTGCTGGGCCCTGCCAGGCACCAACTCAGCCTCTGACCGTGGGCTGTGAGACTGCCCTTCCTGGCCTTCCCCCCAGGTGATGACATGTCACCCAGAGCCTGCCCGTGCCAGGTAGACAGAGGAAGGAGGCCCGAGTCTATCCTATGTGGACCCAGCACGGCCTGACTGCTGCTGAGAGAGCCGGTGGGGCCTGGGTGGGTCTGGCTGGGAGGAGGAGCGGGGAGACGTCACACAGACATCTACGGGTTATCTCTGGGTCCGGCTGTGCCGGTTCCTCTCAGCCCGAGATGGGCTGCAAGCAGAAAGACCAGGAGTAGCAGAGAGGCAAGAAGCGTCCAGCAGGCTCAGCTCAGCCCCCTGTAATGCCCAGGACCAGGCTTCCTCAAGCTCAGGCCACAGCTAGGGCTGCCCTGGTTACCCCCAGCAACAGCTCTGGCGTCCAGACCCTCGTCTCAGAGCCCTTGGCTTTGGGACAGACAGCAGAGGGCTGGCAGACACTGCCACCTGCTGGTCGCAGGCTATAGCAGCACCGTCGTGTGGCTGAGCTCCCTGCCGCCCGCGTACCAGGACCAGGCCAGTCTGGGACTCAGGAGCAAGGGCCAGGCCCCTGCTGTGACTGAGCTCACCGGCCTGTAAGGCGGGCTGGAAGATGAAGTGGCTGCGTGCCAGAGGAGGACCACAGGGCAGGTCATGGAGGGTCTGCTTCCTGGCCACCTGTCTGCTGGCTTTGTGACCTCCGTGAACGTGGCTAACTCCAGTGGGACGGCGACACCCCTGATCTCACGTGCCACAGAGCAAGTGGCAGGAAGCAGGGACAGTCCTCCCGGCCCGGCTTGGTAACGGCGGCTTTCACTGTTTTCTGGGGAGTCCCGGCGTGACGACTAGGAGGCTGGTCCCTGCCCTGGCCTGCCCTGCCCTGCCCTCTGACCTCCTCGGCGGCCGCAGTGCTCTGGCTCCCCTCTGTGATGTGGCCATCACAGCTGAAGTGCTCTGAATGTTCTGGATTAGGTCCCCGTCAGATGTTCTTGGGGACGTTTGTGGGCACATGAGGTTAAAGAAAATCGGGAATAAGCGCTGTGACGCTCTCCACGTTAATGTGGAGTGTCCGGTCCTCAGACTTGGTCTAAAGAGCTGGGTTTGTGTTTCAGGCAGCACAGCGATTAAAGGAAGGAGACAAACTTCAGCCTGGAGGACCAGGACCAGGGCGGCAGGTCGGGAGAGAGTGGGAGAGGCCCGAAGCCGGTGCTCCCGTCCGGTCCAGGATGAGGCCTCGGGGCAGCTGGCAGCAGAAGCCCCCCTGGGTGCGGCAGCAGAGTCTAGGGGAGCGTCACGCGGCCAGTGGCCTGGGCATCAGTTTCGGGGACCGTCTCTGGCCTCTGGCCCACGCAGCAAAGACGTCCATGAACTTCACCGCAGGAAGTGACCTCTGCAGCTGCCCTGAAGAGGAGGGGCACTGACAACCGGAACTTGTGCCTGGGTCCTGCGGCCCCACCACCTCCCGGTTCCTAGGTGGCTGGCCCACCCCAGGGATGCACTCAGCAGGGCGAGGCCTTCCGCTCCTGCTCCTGCCCTCCCAGACGCCTGGGGGCTTCTCCTGATGGCCACAGACAGGATCCGGATGCTAGTAAAAATGTTGGGTAACAGACCCACAATCCAAAAAGGCCTCTGTAAATGGCACACTAACAGGGAGCGAGCACTCTAAATCTCGGGGTAGCCAAGCTGAGAAAGGTAAACTCCTCTGTGGAGGACTGGGCCACGGCACTCCTGTACACTCTGGGCAGGAGCGTAAACTGACAGAGATTTTCCAGGAGCGATTCGACCGCATCGGGGTTTTAAAGAAGGGACTCTTGTCCCGGCACTTTGACTTGCAGAAATGTAATTTAGTCTGTAGCTGTGCTTGTATACATGATGATAAGTATATAAGGATTAAGACAAAACCTGAGGTCAGAGTAAACACTGGAAATGATGTAACGGCAGTGAATACGGAAGGGCAGATAAAGCATGGTCCCGGGTCACTGCAGTCGCCATTGTCCTGCCGTAAGAGGACTCAGATTTTGTGCAGGGTGTGGAAAGGTACCACGATGTGTCGCATCCAGGTACAGGGTGCCTGAGAGAGGGCAGCAAAGACAGATGCCCTGTGGTCCACCCAGAGGAGAGCCACACTGCTGGATGCGTGTCTGTCACTGGCACCATGACCCAGGCGCATCTGTCCCCGTCTGCCACCCCAGGAAGCCCTCTCTCCTCTCTGCTTGCATTTCACATGATAAAACAGCTCTCTGTGGAGCGCTTCATTGTCAGTATCAACACAAACCCATTCTGCCCATGGTATACTACTGGAAAGAGGAATGGCGGATCCTGAGAATGAAACAGAGATTCCAGAAGCGAATAACCATGCTTGAAATATGTCGACTATAACCATGCGGACAGCCTCGGGGAAGGGAGAGATGACTTGCTGGGCAGAAATTACCAGTGAATAGCACTGACCCCCGTCTCATGAGATAGGCCAAATTAATGTCTGCTGAATGGAATGATGATAGAGAACAGAGCCTTGAGGGGGCTATCTGGAGGGAATATGAATATAGAGCCCGGACAGGAATACTGTTCTAAGTATACTTTCATTGTCTAAACCACCAGGAATAATGTCCACACTTGAAACGTCATAAAAGTCTTCAAACATACATGTAAGAAATTCTAAGCTCCGAACTGAGCTTGGCCGAACCTTCAAACTTGGCATCATCTGTGGCAGAGGGCCCTGGTGTCAGGTGCCCGGATGTGAGCCCCAGGATGGCACACCTGCCAACGGTCCAGCCACTCCAGGCTGACCTGGAGGAGCACTTGAGACTCATCCAAGCCACTTCCACAGCATCGGCTTGGGCTCTTCCAAGATGTCAATGTCATGAAAGGCAAAAAAGCCTGGGAAACAGCTTTAAAAGAAAGGAGACTCAGAGGACAGGGCTACCGACGCAGGCAGGGCCCGCAGTCCAATTTCTGAGGGAGGGAGGGACGCAGTTGTGAATAAAAGCCCTTTGCTGGGACACGGGAGAAACCGGGGTGCGGGCTGCCATTGGTCAGGGCCACATCCCAGCCTGCTGGCTGCTTTGGAGTCATGCAGGAGCGCACTCTTGTTCTAGTAGCTACCTGGAGCAGGCTGCCTCAGACAGCAGGACCTGGGGAGAAGCCTGGCCCTGGACCCAGTGCAGTGCCAGCTGGAAGGAAAGGGCCATCCCAGACCCCCAGCGCCCGCCACTGGGACTGCAGGAGCCAGGTGAGCGGAGCCAGGCAGCCACCCATGAGCTCCTGACTGGCCCGAGCTTCAGACCGTTCCAGGATAAAGGCTGCAGAGGGACATGGCTCTTCCTACTGTCCCTACTCCCATGTTCCTGTGAGGTGAAACCCTCTGCCTGCCGCCCTCCAGAAGCAGCTCCTATGGCCGGTGCCCGCCTCCGGTCCCCCCGCTAGGCCGGGAAGGCGCCTCCTGACCTGTTCCTCGGTGCTGCCGCCCTTCCGGGCCCGTCTCCATGCTTTCTTGTGCCACTGTTCTAACAGAACCCTGCTACTGAGTCTGCCCAGAACCCACCTCTGCACCCACCACTCCACACCTAGCCAGGCCTCGCTGCCCACAGCCCCGAGTGGTGGGTGACGGTGGCCTGTGTCCAGCAGGCACCTGCTAGGCTGCCTTAGCTGCAATCCCCAGCTCCTGGTGTTTCTCCTCAGCCGTCTCCCACCCTGGGCCCGGCCGGCGGACCTTGGCAGGCACTGCCCACTTGTCTGAGCCGTTCTCTCCTGTGGTCTCTGCCCCGACTGCAGTCGTCCTGGTGACCACGCTACCTGCTGGCAGCTCCGGTGCTGCTTCGGCACGCCCGACCGCCCCCTCAGACGGCTTCCGAAAGCCCGCCTTTGCTGTTGCTCCCAAGCGCCAGCCCTTCCTTCAAGGTGAAGTGTGCGCCCCCGGGCAGCTCTGGATGGCTGCGCTGCCTTCAAGCGACCCCGTGCCCTCTCCAGCTCCCCAAGCAGGCCGCGGCTCTCTCAAGACACCTGGCTTTGCCCCTCGGCACAGAACACGCTGTACCCCTCCGCGTCCTCCACAGTGGTCCCCACCCACAGGGAGCAGTGTTAACCTCAGGCAGCGCTGTCATTCACAGCTAAACCAACAGAGAGTCCAATGCCACCGAGGGCCTGGGGAGCGAGTGCAGGCGGGGAATGGGAGTTCACGCGCCCTTCTGTTCTTCACACCACAGAGCCCCACACTCAAATTTGTGCCTTGTGTTTGCAAGATGGCTGTTGTGTCTCCAGCATTAAGAAAACAGGGAAGGGACAAAAAGTCTTCTCCTAGCAAGTAGACCCTACACAAGAAAACACACACACATATTTATCTATATATACGCACGCTACCTAGAACTGCGTCCCATGGCCCCTGTAACCATAAGAGAACACGAGTGTTCCGCCGTCCGGCCTCTGGAGCCTTAAAGGCAGGAGGAAAGGGGCTTTTGGGTAGCTGGTCCACAGTGCCTGCCATCCATTTCGTCTTGTTTCAGTCACACTGGATCTCATTTAATTTACCCATTTCCCCAATCAGAAAGCCATGGGTCCAAGGTAACAGCCACTCCCCTGTGGCCCAGGTATGGCACAGCCTCTTCCTGGGGGTCCCTCGTACGTCCCAGACCCAGTGCCCCTGGGCCTGCATCCCTGTCCTCACCTCCAGCCGCCCGGACACATCCATGCCTCCTTCGTCAGCCCCGGGGCTGGCCAGGTTTCAGGCCGGAGCTGTGTTCCTTGGTGTTAGCCGACTGACAAGCGGGCGGTGGCCTCGTCCATGTGCAGTGCATAAACCTGGAGCTCCCGAGAGTCACATCGGAGGATGGGGCTAAATCATCAGGTCCCCGAGACGGTGGGGCAGGTCACCCTGTGCAGGCTGTGGCCTGGACGTCTCTAAGTGACCACACTGCCTGAGGCCAACGGCTTCCCCCATGGAGACAAGCCTGGGCACCCCTCCCAGGGCAGCAGGGAAGGAGGAGACAGAATCTTTTGCAATCTGGTTTTTGTTACCACATCTTCAACCATGGAAGGGGCTGCTTGAGTCAAGCAGGAAGCAGAAAATATCAGACTCAGAGCCCACATTCCACACTTGGTGTACGGTGTGTGGGAGTCCCATGGGGCAGAGTCCGTGGGGGCACGGGAGGCTGGCTGTGTTCTCCGTGGGCCCAGGTGTTCCGGGGCCCCTGGGCTCCACGCCGGGTCACCGGCTCCAGCATGAGGCAGCCTCGCCTGCTCCCTACCCCACGCTGTCTCTCTGGGGGCTCACCCAGGAGTCCCCACCTCTCTGCCCCAGGACCTCACCACGCAGCCTTGGCCGGCTGCCTCCGGGGTCCAGAGCCTGGGACCCGATGGCCTCCACAACCCCGGCCCTCGGCCCTCGAACAACACTTGTTCAAGCAGATTCATCATTCCACCAAAGCCCTGCTCTGTCACTGAAAGGACGTGTCTGACTGTCGTGGCCGGGACACAGTGCCCGACACCCACAAGTTCAGGCGAGGTTTACTGGGCTCACGGTTTGCAGAGGCTCAGTCCATAGTCGGCAGCCCCAGGCAGGGCGGCAGGGCAGAGGGCACCGGGCGCCGTGCCCTGCTGCTGCCTCTCTGCTGCCTCCCAGAGACCCCCTCCCGTCTTCAGGGCTTGGCAGATTCTCCTACTCTTCTAGCCGGGCCTGTTTCTTCAGGGCCTTGCTCCTTTCCTGACGATCCCTTAGGAAGCTCCGCAAAAGGGGACAGGGCGCGTTTCTCCTCCGCCCGGCCGGTGTGGGCGGCCTGTCCCCTTCTCCGGGGCTCCCGCTCAGCTGCCCTGGGGACACGGGCGGGAGGGCGCGCCCAGCGCCAGCCCAAGTGGGGACCAGAGGCGAAAGGCGAGAGGGCAGGGGTCGGCGGGATCGCTGCAGGCAGCCGGGGAGCCCGCCAGTCGGTGAGGGCTCGGAGCTTCGCACAGGCCCCGCAGCGGGGAGAGCGGAGTCGGAGCTGGAGCCGTCCGTCGGCTGGATAAGCCTTCGCCCCGATAAGCCTTCGCCCCAAGGGCGGGGAGGGCAGGGAGAGCCGCGCTCGCCGCCAGGGGGCGCTCCAGGCCAGGCCGGGCGGGCGGGTGGGCGGAGCAAGGGTCCCGTGACCGAGGCCGCCCGCGCCTCCTCCGCCATGCAGGCCCCGGCGGCGCTCGTCACCTCCAGGTGAGCCGGGCCAGGGCGCGGGGCGGGCGCGGAGGGGAAACTGAGGAGGGCGCCCGGAGAGCGGAAGTGACGGGCAGTGCGCGTCTGTGAGCCCCGCACGCCGGAGGCCGAGGCGGGAGCATCCGAAGTTTGGCCCCGACCTGGGCGCCTTTGGAGACTTTGTCCCAGAAGGTCAGGGAGGGTGGGCGGGGCGGAGTTACGGACGGAGTCGGAGCGGCAGGGGAGGAAGCCGCGCCCGGCCAGGCCCTGGACCGGGCCCCGCCCGCCTAGCTGGGCCTGGAGGTGCTGGGAGGGACGCGGCGGGCGTGCTCTTCCACCCTTCCTACCCTCTTCGGGCGCGTCCTGTACCCCACCCTGCCCCGTGCATGCAGCCTGGGGCTCCAGGGCCAGGTCAGCGGGCGGGCAGACCGCTGCCCAGCGCAAACGCGTCTCCCGACTGTAACCTGACTTCCTGCTAGCTCTGTAGACCGTGCAGGCAGAGGGAGGATGCGGGCCGATCTGCATCCCTGGTGGAGGTGCCTCACCGCCACACCAGTGTCCCCGCAGAGGCTGCCTGCTTCTCTGCCGAGTGGAGCCCGAGTTGGCAGACGTGAGCACCGTGGCAGCGGACACCCCGGCCACCCTGCAGACCCCGGGCGTGACCTCTGACCTCGAGGCGTGTGGCTGCTGCCCGACCCGCACGTGGCGTTAGCAGGCATGGGGCGCTGCTGAGCGGGCCGTGGCCTCCTCCTTCCGCCCTGCTGACCAGCACACAGGCCCCAGCCCCTGGGCTGCAGGTGACATTCCCACCAGCCGCCCTCTCCACCTGTGTCCAGCATCCATTCGTCCAGCTCACGTTCAACCGGGGTTCTGGGCCAGGGCCCAGTCCAGTTCTGGGTGCAAAACAAGGTACCAGGCAGAAGCTTCATGGGGACAGTAGGTGAGCTGAGAAGATGCCAGCGTTGACACGTGCCAGGGAAGGCACCTAAACGTAGGGGCCCGGACGGAGGGAGTGGACGCTGCTTTACCCGGTGTGGCCAACGAGCATCGTGCTGATAGGCTGGCCGGGCCAGTCCCCCGTAATCTCCCCAAAGGAGAGAGCCAGGGAAAAGCAATTTGGAAAACTGTACCGGGCAGAGACAGCAGGAGCCGGTGTCCTGAGGCCAGCGTGGAGGGAAGGACAGAAGAGTGTTAGATGGCCCCAGGCAGGGAACGGGAGGCACTGGACTCTGAGGCGGTGTGGCTTCCTGCTGAGTGCGTGACCCAGGGCCGTGGTGGCCTCGAGGGCTGACCAGTGTCTCCCAGCTCCCTGGCTGCGGGAGGGCTCCGCAGCTCCAGCGGGCATCCACGGCCCGGGCCGCAGGCCATGGTCAGCCCGAGGGGTGTGTGGGTTCTGGGCGAGTCTTGGAGACTGGACTCGCGCGTTTGCTGGTGCTGAGGTGTGGGTGTGAGAGAGGGCGGGCGCGGGGAGCAGCCAGGCTTTCCCGGAGGACAGGCTCGGAGGGGGCGTCGGCTTTGCCAGCTGAGATCCCCACGAGGGGACGCTGGGGACTGCTCTGCACCAGTGGTCCTCAGGCCCTCTGTCCTGAGCTTGGTGCTCGGGGAGGGACCAGCAGAGCGAACGGCTCTAAGGCAGGCGCAGTGGGCCCGGGGCGGGGCCATCCCGAGGGGGCCAGCGCTGGCCTTTGGATGTCAGCGCGGAGTGGCCAGGCTCGGAGGGGGCCTCAGGTGCCCTCCTGTATGTCACCTGCATGATGACCCTACAAAACAGGTGCCTCGGCTGGAGGTGTCACAGGCCTGTGATCCCAGCACTCTGGGAGGCTGAGCCAAGAGGAAGCTCTGCGTGGGTAATGTAGTAACTTAGCAAGACTCTGTATAGAATGATGTAGCTCAGTGTGCAGGGCCTGGGTTCAGTCCTCAGTATGAAGGAAGGAAGGGGGAAGAAAGGGAGAGAAAACCCAAAAAGAAAAGAGGGAGAGAAAGAAAGAACGGAAAGGAGAAAAGGTGCCTTGTGTCTTTGCCCCCTGGGGCAGCCGGGGCTCTGTGGGCTGGTCTGGGACTGAACCCCCTGGGGCCCTGGGTGAGCACTCCCCTGGGACTGCTCCCATGTGTTGTGGGCGGCTCTGGGCAGGGGATCCCTTGTAGGGCCGGAGGAGAAGCTGGAAGTGTCGGGCTCACCTGCCAGCCTGGCGCTTCCCTCCTGTCCTCGTGACAGCAGCAGTGTGTGTGACTCCAGATCTCTGCTGTCCCTGCCCAGCCTCTGGCTGAGGGTGCCAGCAGAGAGGAAGGCAGCTCTTCACTCAGCATCTGCCCTCACTGCCCTCCCAGCCCTCCCTGCTGCCGACCAGCCCCAGCTTCCTGAGGGCTCTCCCCGTGCAGGTGTTGCCTGTGGGTGTGCATCTGCTCGGTTGGCGCCTCGTGGCCGGCCGCCCCTGTGTGGACAGAGCGTGCTGCTGGTGGAAGGGGCAGCAAGCTTGGGGCGGGGATGTGCGCAACCTTGCAGGAGTCCTGGGGCCACCCAGACAGCCTGGGCTGTGGGGCAGAGAGGGCAAGGCCAGCCAAAGTTTGCACCCCTGAGCCCGGCCTGGGCTGCAGAGCCCCTGCACCAAGTCCCCTGGAGGTGAGGAGAGCCGGGTCCGTGTGCAGTGCTGCGTGGCACTGTCTGCACAGCCCCGAGGGGACACTGACTCCCCTCTTCCTGCCGCCTCACTGGCCCCTGCCCTGCCCTCACTCTGCCCGGCTGTGCTCCCCGAGCTCCCCTGCACCTGGCTGGCTGAAGAGCCGAGTGTCTGTCCGGCTCCAGGAAGGTCTCGGTCCCGTGTCTGTGCAGACCCGAACCCTCCTTGATCTCCGTGGAGCCTGCAGGACACAGTGCTGCCCTGGAGTTCTGCAGCGCTCACACACCAGGCTGGTGTAGAACCCTTGGCTGGTGTGATTTCCGACAAGCCCATCCTCCTGTTTCCTGCTCTGACCTCACTTTTGTGCCCGAGCAGCCGCAGGCGGGAAACCAGGCTCTGTGGGGGGAGCCGGTATGTGGAGGGGAGCTGCCCTCGCAGTGGCCCCTAGGCCGCACCAGGTCCTGCCTGATTCCCTCAGCAGGAGCTGCGACTTGAAGTGGACTTTGCCTTCTTCACCTCGCAGGCAGCTCCAGAATGTCCACACCGGCCTTGACCTGTCGGTGCCCCAGCACCAGGAAGTGCGGGGCAAGATGCTGTCCGGCCACGTTGAGTACCAGATCCTGGTGGTGACCCGGCTGGCTGCGTTCAAATCAGCCAAGCACAAGCCCGAGGATGCTGTGCAGTTCTTGGTGAGTGGGTGCCCCAGCTGGAGTGCTCCAAGGGCGCCGAGGACCCAGGTGGGCAGACACGCCCGCTTCCCAGGGCGCAGGCACGACTGCCCAGGGCCACACTATGGCGGGTGATGGAGACATGAGAGCCAGTCCAATCCGCACAGCCTGCAGGGAAACAGACGTGTGGAGGCGCAGAGGGAGGTCCAGGCAGTGACCGCAGCCACGGGGCCTGGGGCATGTGGGGAGCCCACCCCCCCGGGAAAAGCCCTCATGAGACCCCTCGGCAGAGCGAGGGCGCAGCAGTGTTAAAGGGGTGTCTGGGGCTTGCGTGACAGCCATGTGGGGACAGCAGTGAGCGTGGTCCTGAGGAGCAGGACAGGGAGCAGGCAGGCAGGGCAGGTGTGTGCTCTAAGCAGGGGCCACCCCGGACCCACTTGCTGCAAGCCGAGGGACTGGGGCCGTGGGCTGGGTGGAAGGAGGAAGCCAGGGTGCCGGAGCCTGGGTGCCAGGCAGGTGCGGCCTCCCAGGGTGACACTTGGAGCGGGTGGCTGCGGTCAGGAAGGAAGGCGGGCCGGGGTCGGACACGTTGTCGAGGGCACTGCACACGCTGGCAGCACTCTGTTGGCACAGGGGCAGGGCAGATCCACGAGGTGTGCCCAGGGGCAAGCGTCTGCCCGGTGGGTGAGCACAGCAGGCCCAGACTTGGGACTGGTCAGGCCTAACATGCAGGCTTTGGAGACCTCAGCCTGGGGGTGATGTTAAGACCTGGGGGTGAACGAAGTTGTCTAGAGAACAGACGTGGAGGCAGAGAAAGGCCGGTGGGCAGTCAGGGGCACCCGTGGGCAGAGCCGGCAGGCGGGACCCTGCAGCAAAGCAGAAGGAAGAGAACTGGCCCCTCGGAGTCACAGGAGCCGAGCCGGGGGCGGCCCGGGTCCGAGATCAGGCAGGCAGGTGTTCACGCTCAGCCTCTTGCGGAGAGGGCCTGGGCCTGGGAACCGGGAAGACAGCTCGGGACTTCAGGCCAAGGGGAGATGAGCTGGGGCCCTGTGGCCAGCCGGGAGTAGCTGCTGCGGGCTCACGCACAGGTTGGTTCTGAGCCTCCCTCCCAGCAGCCACAGAAAGGGGGAAAATGAATTGCAGTTTTGATGGCCTATTAAATGAGTCACAGTTCTCAGGCGCAGCCTTCCTTGGAGGAGCACTGGGCAGTGAACGGAGAAGGGCCTGAGATAGCAGTGATGTTTTCTCGTCGGACTGTGCCTCGGTGACTCTTGACGAGAACTAGGTGGGGTGTGAGCTGCTGTTTCCCGGGTTGCCTGGGCCAGCTGCCCTCACCTCCTAATGAACTCGTCTGAGCCAGGATAGGCTCAGTGGTTTAGACCTAGGTGTCCCCCGAGAGCCTGGGTGCTCAGAGGCGGGGCTTTTGCCCCCGGTGACCAAATCTCGGGTGTTACAGCAGACTGGCTGTTAGGAGGTGGAGCCTGGCCACAAGAGTAGCCCTCCCTCCCTGGTTCCTCCTCTCGCCTTTTCCTGGCTGCCTCGAGCTGAGCAGCTTTCCTCTGCCTGCGCCCTTCCACCGTGCCGCCCACCATGCAAGGACCGAAACAAGAGCCAAAATAAGCCTCTCCTCCTTTAAGCTGCAGGTGCCGGGTATTTTGTCCCAGCAAAGAGGAACGCAACTAAGATGTTGGAAAAGGACAGGCAGAAGAGGAGGCGATCTGGGGTTGATGCTACTGGGCCCAAGGCAGGGCGGCCATCTGGGAGCGCTAGGCCAGCTTGTCCTGGCTCGGGCCAGCTTCACGCGCGGTGCGCATGTGAGGACACCTGTAACAGCTCCACCGCCACACCAGTGCTGCTCTGGCCTCACTGGCGATGCGCATGCCCTGTGGTGTGCGGGGCACCACGTGCGTGTGTTTGTGTGTGTGTGTGTGTGTGTGTGTGTGTGTGTGCACGTGTGGGTGCTTCACAGACAACGGAAGCACCTGTAAGGGCAAAAGAGAATGTGTTTAGTCTGTGAGATCTGGAGGTGTGGCCCGCAGTTGTGTACTCCAAACCTGAAGTCTCTTTGGAGTTTCATGATTTAGCTAAAAGAATGAACATTTTGCATCTTCTCCTTAAACGGACACTTGAAAGAAAGTCAGGAGCGTGTGTTTCACTGCTCTATCAGTGAGTTTCGTGGTGCTGGGACCAGCACCTGATGGCAGCCGAGAGAGAAGCGCTTTGCCTGGGCTCACAGTGGCAGAGGGCTCAGTCCAGGACCAGCTGGCTTGGAGGCAGGCGCATCGTGGTGGAAGGGGCTGGCAGAGGAAAGGCGCCCACATGTGGCAGCGAGGAGGCAGAGCACAGGGGAAGAGCCTGAGAGGAAGGGCCGGGGCCAGTCACAGCCCCAAGGTCAGGCCTATGACCACCCAGGCACACCAGGAGTGTGCCTTCACACACGCTGACAGCCAGGAGCCACAGGACAGTGCCGACCGTGCAGCAAAGCCAGCCCAGGAGGCCTCCGTGTTCATGGGTGCCAGGTGCCCCGTGTACCGGGCTGCAGGCATGAGCACGTTAGAGGAGCAGGGCAGCAGTGATATCTGCCCGCTGCCGGGCACATGGGGGCCACAGCTGAGTGTGAGTTCTCCCCCTGGCGCTGCGGTGCTCAGTCTCTCCTCAGTCCCCTCTCACTGCTGGTGCAGGTGGGAAGCTGCCTGAGACGCCCTGGCCCGAGCTGAGGGGTGCAGGGCCTCAGGCCAAACTCTGGAGCCCTCTGTTCCCTTGTCCACGGGTCTGTGGGCTGGGCCTGTGTGGGACAGTCCTGCCAGCAGGGGGCGCTCGGCCTCCACCGCAGTCTGCTCTGCCTGCCTGGCCAGAGTGGGGTCCTCCCGAGCCCCTGTCCAGGCCTTCCCCGGAGGCCATTCTCAGCTGAGCTCTGGAATCGGGTTGGGCATGACAGCTTCAGACAGCAGCTCCATCCCAGGTGCCTCCCTATCCAGAGGGGCTCGGAAGGCCCCCGACCTTCTGGTACTGAAAGTCTTCCAGCCAGGGGTGCTGGTGATCCGACGCCACACGGGTCACCAGGCCTCCGGAGCCTGTGCGCGGGAGCTGCAGTCCAGCCGAACCCTGCGTGCCCAGGGCTGAGTGTGAGTCGGCCACACCTCCTCCCCACGCCCCACAGTCAGGGAGACCCTCGGGGAGCCGAGCAGCCGGGCGACTGACTGTACAGACCACAGCGATGGCCCCGCACCCTGCGCACGGTGAACGCCTCGGGGGCCTGGGAGCCCGGCAGAGCCCACGGCAGAGCAGTCCTGAGCGCTGCTGTGAGGAGCCAGTGTGCAGCCTGAGCCCAGCAGGAAGCCGCCCCCGCCCCAGGGACTCGGGGTGCTCAGCACACCTGGGCTGGCGCAGGAGCCCTGGCTGGCTCACCCAGATCTCAGCGTGCCGCAGGGTGCTGGCAGCAGCTGTGGCAGTGTCTGGCCCCACCGGAAGGCTGCCACTGGCTCCCGGGAGAGGGGACAGCCGGGCCTGTGCCGATACTCTGACTCGCGGAGTCACCTGACGGTGGCCTGACCGTCGCGGGCGCTGCGAGCACCCTGCTGACCCCAGGAAAGCCGGGGCAGACTGGCATCGGGGCCTCTGCAGGCCAGGCGGGTCCCCCACTGGCCGTCCTCCCCATGCCCCAACACACTGGCTGGGCCTCGGGCCGCCTGAGGCCCGGAGACCCCTGGAGGCAGCAGGCGCCTTGCCCGGGCCACTCCCGAGAGCAGAACACTGCACCTGCCACTCTGCTCCTCTCATTCCAGGTCTCCAAAAAGTACAGCGACATAGAGGAGTTTTACCAGAAACTGAGCAGGCGTTACGCAGCGGCCAGCCTGCCCCCGCTGCCCAGGAAGGTCCTGTTTGTTGGAGAGTCTGACATCCGGGAGAGGAGAGCCATGTTCAGTGAGATTCTGCACTGTGTCGCCAAGGACGTCCAGCTGGCAGGCAGCCCTGAGCTGCTGGAGTTCCTAGGTACCCGAGGCTCTGGCCCTTGTCCCTGAAGCCCCCCAGCCCAGAACCAGGCCTGACTGCCCTGGCTTGCCGAGAATAGGCCCACAGCTGCCCCCGCCGCCGAAGTTCCACCCAGGCTGCTCAGGCATTAGGGCCTCTGGACACCGGGGCTGGGTGTGAGCGAGACGCAGCGCCTGAGCGGTGGTCCAGACCCCAAAGGGCTGCCTTGTCGGGACGCCAGATGGGCTCACACAGGGCTTTCTGGGCCAGCCCCTGGAGCCCTCTGTTCGTCTCTCCCTCCCTCCCTCCCTCCCTCCCACACACCCACACACATGCACACGCACCCCTTCTCCACTTAGCCCTGGTGTCCTGGACTTCGGGAATAGCTCTGCTTCCACACCAGGCTGGTGACCCTGGCTCTGGGGCACCTCCTTCTTGGCCTTATTCCCCACAGGACCATGGGGGCGTTGCAGCACGCACCTCTCGTAGCGGGGACCCTCCTCCTGGCCTCCCAGGCAGTGTCCAGCCCCTCTGTCTTCTCCCTGGCGATGTGAAAGTTCCTGAAGTGGCCCGTGAGCGGCCACACCGGAAACAGTGCTAACAGCGGCCCCGCTGTCCGCCCCCACCCCACCCTGCCCCAGCAGGCCGCGTCCCCGTGTCCCCACGGGTGGTGCCAGTCCCTCGCCTGCCGTCTTCCCTCTTCAGGGCCGTCGCTGAACTCTTTTCTGACTACTGTGGATCCCCTGGTTCCATGGGAGAGAAGGGAATTTTCCAGAAGAATGTCGACAGCAAATAACCGGCTTTCAAACAGTGAGGTTGGCAGCAAGGCGCGGCCAGAAGCTCAGAGGGGCTGGGACAGGATGAAGCCACACAGCCAGGGCTTCCCGTGTCCGCTCTTGTCTCCCCGCGTGGTCTGCTGCCCCTGTACTCATGCCCACGACCCTGGCTGCCCTGCTGTCCCTGCGGCTGCACAGATGAGGGGTCGGTCGATGGTCGCAGCTGCAGAAGGCTCAGGGGCCCTGCCCGGCCTGCAGGGCAGAGGTGCGGCAGGGTGGTCCAGCTTCCCAGCCCTCCTGGGCCCATTCGCTCTCCTGAAAAGCAGAGGCACGGTTCCCTTCTCACAGGGTTTTGCAGTAGGTGTGGGGTGCTTGTCACATGAGACCAGTGGTCCTGAGATTTTGAATGGTATTTTCTCCTGTGAATAAAAGAACAGAACGTAATACACAGTCAGTCATTATCACTCGGAGCATCTTGTGAGAGTTATAAACAGTCTTCTTTTTTACCTACTGAGTGATATTTTTAAAGAGTGGATGCTTTAAAAGATAAACTACCCAGTCTGCATCTGGAGAGATGAACAAGCAGTCCCAGCCCACGCTCCTCAGACTGCCTGTGGGGAGAGCCGTGCGGGCTGCAGCCGTGGCCGGCTGGTGCTTCGGCAGATCCTGCAGCTCGCTGGCTGACGACACCAGGCGCTGCGGAGGCTTCCAGACGCTCGCGCTCTGTCTGCCGCCTCGTCCCGGCGCCTGTCCAGGGCTGCATTTGCCAGTGGGCGAGTGGAGCTTGTTCCAGAGTCTTCCACGCGGCCAGGCCCTCGCTGCAGCCTCTGCTCAGGGTCTGGAGCAGGGCTCTGACTGTCGCTGGCTCGGCAGAGCCCCTCACTGGCCCCACGGTGTGAGATGCCTCTGGGGCCCCTGCCGCTCCAGTTGGGCCGCTGCTGGCAGCCTGGTGGCTGTGGGCCGGGACCGCGGCCTCTCTGAAGCTTCCTCCGTGACCCCTGTGTAGGCGTCCTCAGCACACTGCACGCTGCCACCCATGCCGCCCGGACCCGCTGGTCTGGCTCCAGCAGAGGCTGGTCCCGGGCAGCTGCAGGGAGCCTCAGCCACAGGTCTTGGCACCCAGGTGCGGGAGGTGGCTGCTCCGCCAAGGGGGGTTGACGCCCTCTTTCCTGTCTTCCACAGGCACCAGATCCCCTGGGGCCGCAGGTGTCACCAGCAGGGACACAGGAGGCCAGGCGGGGCACAGTGAGGAGGCTTTCGACTTCTTCGAGCAGCAGGACCGAGAGGCCAGTGTGGGTCTGCCCGTCCTGGGCCAGAAGAGTGAGTCTGAAGAGCAGCCCCTGGAGGAGGAGGAGGAGGCCCTGGACCCCCTGGGCATTCTTCGGTAAGGCTCCCGTTCTCGGGGTCGCTTCTGGGGATGGCGACAGCCCCTGCCCTCCCCTTGGGAGCCAAGAAGACCTCTGCTTCCGCGACCGTGAGCCAGGCCTCCCTCCACTGTGCCCCAGCCCTGGACAGGGCCCCGCGGACCGTGAGGGTGGAGGGACGCGCTGACAGGAGGAGGGAGGGAGTGGGGTGCCGGCCGCTGCACAGAGTCAGCCGCTCCCATCACATGCGGGCGCACACCCTGGTGGAGCTGAGGGCCAGCGCTGTCTCCCTGTTCCAGACTGAGCGGTTTGGCCAGGACATCCCAGCCGGAAGGCGGGGGTTTTGGGGAGCCAGCTCCTCAGCCACACCCAGGGCCCTCCCGTTTTCTTCTTGGCCCCAACAAAGTGAAACTGACGTTTTCGAGCACCTACTGTGTGCTGCCACTGCACTCTGCGGTTCACGTTCCGTGTCTCATGGGTTCCCTGCCTGACAGCAGCTGTTGCTGTCCCATTGTGCAGACTGAAGAAACAAACCTGCGAAGACCGGGCCCTGCCTGAGGCCAGGCAGCTGGGAGGAATGGTACTGGGGCTGGAGATCCCTACCCCTGTCCCTCTTGGGCCCTGGGTTGACCTCTTTGCTTCAGTTTTCCTCAGTGAGTAGGGGCTTCTGATTGCATCCACCTCCTAGCACTCTGGTGAAGATTAAATGAGTTACGTAGACGGCAACAGTACCTGTCATGGCCCCTCCGTCTATAGAATCAGACTCAGACCACGGCGCCTTCCCCTGCCAACATGAGTGGGTCTTGGGTTTGCAGAGGACCTCCCTGTGCAGAGGAGGGAGGCCTGCCTGGTGGGTCTGGCTCCAGAAAGGAGCTGGGGCCCAGGAGAACCAGACAGGCAGGGCCAGGACCAGTGACCTGTGGAATGAGCCGCTCTGGTGGGGGCTGCAGGGCCAGTGAGACCAGCGCAGGGGGACGAGGATTCACATCCGGGGCCAGAGCAACACAAGAGTCACGGTCCCACTGGCCTCTGCCCGAGGGACAGGCGGTGGGGCTGGTGGGGGATGAAAAACTCCTCCCCAGGCTGGCCCCTCTGGCCCTGCTGGGCTCAGTCTTGGTAAGGGCAAGGCCTTGTTTGAACTCTGTTCACTGTTGTCTTGAGCAAGCACAAGTAGTGCCAAGCTGAGCTGGACGTGGGTGGCTTGTGCCAGCCTTTGGCTGAAGGACATGCCTAGCAAAGCGGCTCCTTTTTTGGGTAGGAAAATGCTCGCTGGGTTGGCAGAGGCTGCCTTGAATGCCCTCCTTCCTCCAGTGTAGCAGTGTTGGGGACGCGTCAGCAGGCCTGGCTTCCTGTGGCCCGGCTCCGCACTCCAGGGTGTGTGACTTGGAACCACCCCCCACCCCCCCAGGAAAGCTCCGCGGCTCTCTCTCGCCGGTGTCTTTTAGGGACCCTTGTGACACCAGTTGTCTTAGCGCCTTTGTCTGTAATAATAAGTAACGTTTTTTTGAGCTTGTTAAATGCCGACAACTGAGCTAGTTAGCATTTGCTGGCATTAGCTCCTTTTACTCTTGAGATCGCTTTTCTGAAACTTTGTTGCCATGACTCAGAGTAAAAATAATATTGCAGCTGGTGACCAGGATTTCTGTGTGTACATGTTGCAAGTTGAACTGAAACAGAAGCTTTAAGGAACCTTAATTAAGGATATTTCTCGCTGGTATTTCCTGCTCTTGTTCACTGTGTGCAAAGGTCCCGACGCACTGCCTTCAGGGTCGGTGGGCCACAGTGGGACGTGCTGCTGTCTCGGCATCAGCTTCCTTTTCTCTGAACTTTGGGCAGCTGAAGTTGAGAGTCAGGTTGTGTGCTCACGTTCATGCAGCCCACAGATGGCTGAGCCAGGACCTGAGGCCACTGGGAGCCTGGTGTTTGATAGTGTGGTGGTGGTCAAGGTCCAAGCTGGGTTTCGCGGCATTTTGTGGCCCCAGGGGTCCCGTGGACCCTGTGTTCTGCACAGGCAGCTGGTGAGTTCTGCGTGTCTCTCCCCGCTGTGGCCATGGGGGGGCGCTGTGGCTCTATTGCCGGGCCGCCGCGGGGGGGCGGGGGCGGGCGTCGCTGGCACCAAGCTGGAGCCCTACTGGCCTGGCTTTTCTTTGTGTTTTCAACCTGCCTCCAGTTGAGGGAAGGGCATTATTATACCATTAGAGAACAGAGAAAGACCGTGGAGGCCCCTGCCGCTGGCCCCAGTCCCAGCGCGACCCACACAGCTGCATGCACCGCCTTCCACTCGCCCTCTCCGTGCTGTACAGGTTTCATCTGTAACACTGTTTGTGTCTTCATGGTTCTGAGAATATTGAAGTTCTACCGTGACTTCCAGCCTTCTGCTAGAAATACTGTGCTACAGTTTCATGGTGATGCAAATAATACACAGCAAGTAGAGAGAGACTGAAATCCCGGAGAAAGTCCTCCCCCGGACGTGTGCACGTGGAATGCCCGTGTCTGTTCCCCAGCGGGTCTGTGGTTCCGCGCTGCCCTGCGACTGGCCTTGCCGCCATGTGGGCTGTCTTTGCAGATCAGCAAACACTTTGCCAGCCTCACTCTACTGGCCCCTCGGGCCGACACACTGTCCGTAGCACTGTTCATAGCAGTGCCCCGGTTTGCAGACATGCAGTGTCTTCCGGGGGCTTCCTATCAAAGGTGGTAACCTGAGGGACTTTTATACATACAGCTTTCAATCGCTTGACCCCAGAGCTGCTCCCGGGTGCCAGTGGGGTCCTTGGGGCTCCCCCCGCCCCCCCCCGGCGAGGGGAGCCCACCTGCTCTGGCGCACGCCTGCCTGCTGTCAGACCTCCAGGACTCGGGGGTCCTGTGCTGTGGCCGTGGCCTCATGCAGGGCAGCTGTGTTTCTTTCCTGTAATTTCTTACATAGATTTTGCTTCATTTTCTGTAAAGTAAAAGTATAAAATAGTAGTTTGCTCACCATATCTGGAAGCCCTTCCTGCGCTGGGGTGTCCCTGTGGCTTTAGTGCCCTGGCCCTCTGCAGGTGTCCCCACATGTGTGCCCAGCTTGTAGAACTGGGCCATCCCCAGCGCAGACCAGATGGGCGCTCTGGGGACAGCACAGCCACAGCTGCCTCCCTCAATGCCACTCGCAGAACCCCTGGCTTCACTCCCGGGCCCCCTGGATGCCGGCAGGGAGAGCAGCAGACACCAGCTAGGGACTCTGTGCCAGCCTTACGCTGGCGAGATGCAGGTTTCTAGGCCCCGCAGACCTGGGTGAGCCCAGACTGCCTCGGCAGGCCCTTGAGGGGAGTCCGCAGCCGCATGCTGAAGAAGCCCAGAAGCCCTCTGCTGACAACTGGGAGCTCCCGGTCGTCCCAGAGTGCCTAGGAGCGAGCGCGCACAGGGCAGCCCCTCCTACCTGCCCCTCACCTCCTCCTCCCTTTCTGAGGTTTTCCCTTCCACCTGACGCCACTGCGAGGCTGTCCGCAGCCCGTCCCCCGCCTGTGTGCTGCCCAGGTACACTGGTCTGGCCTGAGGGAAGGGCTCCTGGGGAACATGATGCCTCAGTGCTTTCTGCTCTTTTACTGCAGTAGCAAAATACTTGGTTCAAGAGAAATCTCACCTGGAACTCTGAGGTGTAAGACAGACAGAGTCTGGTTGCCTCCTCAGAGACAGCAGCAGGGTGCGCTCCTGCTCCAGCCACCCCCACGGCATGGCGCAGCAGGCCAGGCCCCTCTGAGCATGGCTGAGGCCCCCGGGTGTTCCCAGGATGTGTGGTCACCTCACCCCAGAGCAGGCTGGGGGCAGATGGTGGCAGGTCCAGCCAGTGGAGGGTTGGAGGTCATCAGCACTGGCTCAGAACTAGTCTCTTCCCTTGTGGAGCAGCTATGAAGTTAAAAGGGTGGGTGTTCTCGGTGCAGTGTTGTGCTGTTCTACAGAGGGCTGCGTGTCTGCACAGCAGTCGAAGCGTGGAGGCAGCGTTCCTGCGTCCCGTGTTGTTAGGCAGACAGCACACCTTTGCTACGTGCTGGTTTTCCCTCCTGCGGCTGTACCTGTAAGCCAGAGGCAGCAGGTCACCTCCTCCGCCTCTGTCCTGGGAAGAATGACCTCACCAAGCCGAGCCCTGGACGGGTTAATGGTGCTCAGGCTGCTTGGCGATTGTATCTTGGGCGGCCTGGGCCACCCCATGTCCACAGCTCGACAGTGTCCTTAACCTGTGAGGTCAAACCCAGTCTTCAGTTCACCACCAAGGGCCTTCCGGCGTCACCAAGAGCAGCAGCAGCTGGGCACCTTTGTCCTGAGACCCTCCTTGTGTGGGGACGGAGCTCCCAGCCCTTGGGTAAGTGCTGTCCTTTCTGGTAATGCAGGTGCTGGCCCCTCAGTGAGGACAGCCAGGAGCTGGGCCAGTGTGCGCCTCGTGCAGCGTTGGGGTGCGCTGGGTGATGGACATGTTAGTGGAGACCACCCAGACAAGAACAGGCGAGGCAGTTTGTCCTGAGCCTGCCATGGCCAGGCAGGCATCAGCCACCGTGCCATGCGTGTGCCAAAGACTCTGGCGGGCAGGGCCATGAGGAGCTTCACAGCGGCAGAGGGAAGGCTTGGTGCCTGCGCTGGCATGAATGGGGTAGTGGACAGCAGTGTGTGCTGCATCCGCGTGCTCGGCTAAGGGCCGTGTTTGGCTTCCCTGGAAATGGAGCACCTGGGAAACTGGCAGTTACTGATCCAGGCCTGGCCGTCTGGGGCTGACCCCTGCAAGCCTGGTTTGGCCCCCCGAGCTGCCTGCTGCAGGCTGGGCGCCAGGGTTCCGCCTTACCGTTGGCCTGACCCTGGCCCTTTGCATACTGAGTCTTTGGGTGGCAGGTGCACAGCCACTGTAGGCGAGACGGCCCGGATTCCAGGGCCATGGTAGGTGAGGACTCAGTCTGCCCCTGCTGAAGTCCTGGCCCCAGGGTGGGGCCCGGGCATGGAGGGGCCCCAGAGAGTCTGCCTGGCTACTGGGAGGATGAACTGGCAATGGCAGCAGTGATGGGTGTCCGCGGGGGTCCGGGCAGCTCCCCACATGGGCCCTTGCCTTGCTGAGGCCCGCCCTGAGCTCACTTGCACCCGCAATTCCAAATGGCTGTGTGCCCCACCTCTGCCGCTCGCCAGGTGGGGAGGGGCCTGCCCGCGTGCCGGTCTTCTGCCTTCTCTGCTGCTGGGCCCTTGGCAAAGCCAGAGCCCAGCCCCTCAGGGATGCCAGCTTCCCCTCGCTCCAGCTGCCTCCTCCCTCCAGGCGCCTGCCACCCAGCCGTTGGGCACCTGCCCTATGCCAGGTCGGGGCCCGTGGCGTCTGCACAGGGCCCTCGTCTGCCTGGAGCCCCACTTTCGTGGCTCTGCTCCCCTCTCTTCTCCGAGCCCCCCCTGCCCTCCAGGGAAGCCCCCCATGGGCACCGCTGCGAGCTGCCCATCCCGGAGTGACTCCTTTAGTTCATTTTCTCACACACTGAAACTCATCTGATTAGAAAAACAAACAGCTGAATGGAAGATAAAAACATGAAAAGTGCTTTATTTCAAAGCAGGAAGGTTTCATCATGGGCAACAAGGTTGATTTCCACATTCGGCTGAGCTTCACCTGGCCTGGAAGGTGGCAGTCAGGGTCTCCTGGCCATGGGAAGACCCGCTGCCCCCTGTTTGGACCCAGGCAAGCATCTGGGAGTCAGCTCTGCCAGCCCTCGCATTCCCGGCCTGGGCGCTGGTGCCCACTGCTGGAGCTGTGCTGGACAGGTGGATCCCGGGCGCCCAGGGCTGATGTGCTCATGTGTCAGTCACTGTCGCCAGAGGGCTGAGCCGCAGGAAGCAGATGCTTCTTGGCTGGTCAGAGCGGGAACTATCAGCCCTGGCAGCTGCCGCCTCTCCCCGGAGCGTGCTGCACAGCCGCCTGCAGAAAGCAGCGGGGTCTGCGCATCTGTCTCCTGTCAGGCCCGCAGCAGGAGCTCGGTTTGCGTCAGGCGCGACCACGCTCACACGGCCATGCTGCCCGGAGTCCTGCCTGGCTGCTGCAGCCTGCGTGGGGCCCCTCGCCTCTCGGCCTGGCGACCTGCACAGGCTCCCCATGCGCCCCATTGCCTCCTCGGTGGCCCTCATTGGTCCCAGCTTCCTTCTCAGTGGCAGGAGAGGAGGGCTCCTGGTCATAGCCTGGAGGAGCTTGGCAGACAGCGGAAAGGGAGGCTGAGGGGATGTGGTGAAGGAGCGGAGGAGGAGGAGCGGGGTGCAGAACGGTCAGCGCAGCACAGACGGGCAGCCTGGACAGCTCCTCCTGAGGCCCTCCTGCCCCGGCCCGTGCACTTCTGCTCCCCAGGCCAGGCCTGGCCCATCCTGCAGGTCCATGAGGAGCTGGGGTCCCCGCCCCAGCCCACCCCTGCCGGGAGCCTGAGGGTCCTTGTCACCCGTGGCCCTTGGGCTCTGGTCGTGCCAGTGCAGGTGGCTTGGGTTCCTCTGCCTGAGATGCCCCTCCCGAAGCCCCTCTGGGTTGCCTCCCTCCGGGAACCTCTCCCAGCCCTCAGGCTGGGTTGGCTCCTCCCTCTGCTGGGGCAGTGAGGACGGTCGGCCTGTGGTGATGACTGTGCCCTGCAAAAGGTGACCGATGTCTCCAGTGAAAAAGGCATGGTCATAATGCAGTTCTGAGAGGAAACAGCTAGAAGGAGCATCTGGCATCGTCTGTGTTAAGAACAGAAGCAAGCATGAGAGGGGAAATTGCTGAAATCCTGAACAAGTGCTTCGTTGTTCTCTGGCACTTCCCTTCCTTCCGCTGTCCCCTCTCTGCTGCTTCCTGTGGTGGCCCTCGCTCCCTCGCCCCACGGGCCCGCTGGCTGATAGGACACAGGTTCAGTTCCCAGGAGCCTCCTTGTTCTAAGTGAGGTAGTGCAGACTTTGGAGGGCAGTGGGCAGCTTTGGGCCTAGAGCTGCCCGCCCGATGTGCAGGCAGGGGTGGGTGGCTCCTCCCCTCTCACTGCGCAGTTCCTGCTGGGGCCAGGGGCCTCGCCGAGGCGGCTGCAGTGGTGATTGAGGGCAGAGAGGCGGTGGGGCAGAGCTGGAGCTGCCGGGCTGCCCACCACATTCCACTGGAGACACTCGCCCCAGGGCTGCCTGGAGTTTGGGCTGGGGTCTTGGCCGCTTACAGGGGTTCTCAGGGCTGAGGCCAGAGGGGAGGGTCACTGTCCGGGTGACAGCAGCTGAGCCCCAGCCGTGGGGGTGTGGGAGGGCCAGGCTGAGTCTTCTGGAAAGCACTTACCGTCTGCACCAGCCCCAGGCGGCCCTGAGGACAGTGAGGGCACAGCGAGCGCGGCCTGCTGGCCTGACCCCCGTGCAGAAAGCTCGGGGATGCGAAGGGGCTCCCCGGCTGTGCGGCCGGGTCTCTGCCGCCTGTCACCACCTTTGAAACTGCCACTTTCTCCCAACGCCCACACCCTCTTCCTGCTCATAGGATGGGCAGAGGGGCCGGGGCAGCGGACCCTGTGCAGTGACCACACTCACTGCGTCCCAGCACCCCTCCTGCCTTGAGGCCCGGCAGATACTCACCTCCCAGTCGATTCCTGGGGTGTCACACAAGCCCAGCCCCATGAAACCCCACCAGGACCTGGCCCCTGAGCACCCGAACTGCTGTGTCCCGTGGCGCCCTGCCTCTGTCGCCGGTCCCTGTTCCAGCTGCAGCTGCAGGCCAGGCTGGACTTCTCCCACGCAGCTGGCACGAGACCAAGGGGATGTGGCCTCGCTGCACTCCGCTGCTGCTGGTCAGCCTGTGGCCCTGTTCAGGGCAGTACCAGCCTCGGTGCAGTGTGGCCAGCGTCACCAGGGTGAGCTTGGATGGTGACATCGGTCCAGTGGAGCAGCCTGCCGGGCAGACGGGCCCATGCCATTCCAGCCTCCAGGGAGGAGAAGGCTGGAGTACCCTAAGAAGGCCGCTGTGGGCTGCAGCTCCAGGGAGTAGGCCAGCTTGTCAACCTGAAGCCCAGTCTGTCTGGTTAGCGGCAGTGTCGCTTACAGTGACTTGGAAGGATCCATCCCATGTCTGGGTTGCAGGTCACCCTGATGGGGAGATAAGCCAGGCACGCCCCTCCTCATTTCCTGCTGCAGGCGGGCCCTGGGCAGGGCCTCCTCTGCCTGTCAGCGCACAGGGGTAGCAGGACTGAAGGGTGACAGAGCCAGCTGGGGTCCTGAGCCCCAGAAGGAGTGGGCTGCCCTGGGGGCCCAGGAAGGGCAGTGGTCCCACCACTCAAAGGAGGTGACGCGGCTGGTTTCTGCTCTCTCCTGCCCCCCCGCACTCGGGGCTGCAGAGCGGGCTGTGTTCTCTGGCCTGCGTGGGCCTGGAGGCTGGGAGCGCTCTGGCCTTCGGGTCTGGGCCAGATGGCCGCTTCTCCCCGTCTTCGCCCAGGCACACTGCTTGGCTGCTTCAATGGTGGGGCTTCCCGCTCCACTGTCAGATCTGGGAAAGCTCCTTTCGGCCCAGGCTCCACCTGCCTCCTCAGTTCGCCCCAGGCCTACCTGTCTCCCTGGGCCGGGAGGACCTGCCTGCCAGAGAGCTGAGGCCTCTTCTGTTGCTCTCCTGCCAGGCCTCCACGTGGCCCTCTCTGGCCCTCGGTGCCCAGTGAAGCCCAGCATCTGGCTGTGCCCAGTGGGTCACCTGGCCTTTGGAGAGAAATCTTTACCTCATGTTTTTGTGTTTTATCTCCAGCTCCAAGAAGCCCAAGAAATGCCCTAAGGTGGCTGTGAAGGCCAAGCCCGTGCCCCGCCTCACCATCTTTGATGAGGAGGAGGAGGATGGCCCCGATGTGGAGCTCTTCGGCCCAGGCGGGAAGTTGTCCTGGAGGGGTCCCCGCCAGGGTGCGCCCCCCATAGACTGTAAGTGGAGCCCCGTGAGTGCCTTTGCTCCGTCTCTGCTCTGTGGCACGTGCGTGACTGCAGTGCAGGTGTCCCCGCCCCGTTCAGCTGGGACAGACTCAGCTGGAGAAGCCCAGCCTGGCCCGATAGCCCTGTAGCCTGGAACATTCCGGGGCTGTGTGCTTATTCTAAGCATCCCACGGAGGAGGGGGCGGTCCTGTTGCATCCACACCAGAAGTCGCTGGCCTGCGTTGAGCATGCGTGGACTCCTTAGGGTTTTAACGCCAATTCTTCGTGCTGCCCTGTGGGTGCCCCTGGGGGCTCTGCAGAGTTGGCGGAGGAAACGGGAGAGCCTCAGGAATCGCCTTCCTCACACCTGCTCCTCCAGGGCTGGGAGGTCGTGAGCTCCCACCTGGGCCGGGCCCAGGGACCCACAGACAGGGACCGTGAGGGACAAGATGGCGCCTGATGATGCAGAGCAGGAATGCTGCTTCCCGGGCTGGGGGCCGAGGTCCGGGGTGTCATGATGGGGTGGAGCTGTGCCGGGCTGAGTGTGGGAGGGAGGCCAGGCCCCTGCTCCCCAGTGTCCTCAGCAGCTCAGGGGAGAAGACTGCCACCGAGGGCTGCAGCGGCAGTGTCCCCGCCCTGCACCGGCAGGGGGAGCCCTGCGGGAGGACGGCACTCAGCACCTGGGCGCGGAAGGTGCTGCAGCAGCAGGGGCCAGCTGGGGCATCGGGCACAGTGAGCAAAGAGGCCGTTGCCCTGTGAAGCAGCAAGGAGCCTGGAGAGCAGAACTGGAGCGAGCTGAGGCAGACAGGGGCCCCGGCTCCCCTCCTGCCCCAGTCCCATGTCTGAGTGCACCAGGAGGCGAGGCCTCGAATCTGCCCCGCACCCTGGCAGCTGAGCACCTTCTCCCTCCCTTCCTTCCTGCAGCCCTGAAGCTTTTTGATGACCCTGACCTCGGCGGGCCCGTCCCCCTGGGTGACCCCTTGCTGCTGCCGGCTGCCTGTGGACGTGCAGGGCTCACGACCAGCCTGGATGGCAGGGGCGGCTCTGCTGAGCTGTTCAGGTACCCCGTCCCCAGGGGCGCGCCGGTCCCCGTCCGAGGTCCCCAGAGGGATCAAGGCCTGTGGCTGCCATGGCCAGAGGCAGTGATGGGGGCTCGGGAGGGGCTGCAGCCAGGACAGCTCAGGGGGTCCCTAAAGACGCACATGGCTAGGCCCGTTCTTTCCATGCTCAAGTTTTAATAATTTCTGTAAAGAATGGCAAGTGACATAGTTCAAGAGCAAGCATAACCGGCACACATGGTTTTAGGAGCAAACAGAACTAACAGTAGGTAGCGAGCCACTCAGGTGGAAGGGCAGAGCGCGGATGTGGCAGGCTGTGGTGAATGCCAGCCTCTCCTGAGTGCTGTCCAGTGGTGCGGGAGCCTTCATGTCGTCTTGCTTCTCCCTGCTGTCCGCAGGGCAGAGCGCATTCTCTTCATGTTATGGAAAGCTGGGAGAGGCTGGGATGTAGCTCAGGGGCCCGGTGCCATTCCTGGTTGTGCTTAGCAGTTTTCGGAAGCGGACTGCCTGTTCCAGGAAGCGTGCGGGGCCCCAGGACGCTGTCGTCCCTCTTGTTAGCAGCCCGGGCTGTCAAACAGACTCTAAGTGCCTGTGAGGCCAACATCTCCCAGAGGGCCCTGGCATCTGCTCCTTCTGATCCTGTTTCCTGGCTGACGGCAATCATTCCAATAGAGCCGAAACTGAGGCACAGGGAGGCAGATTCTAGGGTCAGCCCTGGGGAGCAGCAGGGCCAGGCCGAGCGTGTCCACCTCTGGCATCTTTCTTCTTGGTCACTGCTGACCAGCCCACGTGTGCAGAGCCTGGTCCCCGGATGTACACGGCTCCTCCAGGGCTCTGTGGCCAGCGAGTTGGGGAATACTTCTGTCAGGCAGGCCCTCCGCAGGCCCGGCTGGGGAGCTCATTTCCTGCTCTCAGCAGTCCCCGGGACCCCACCTTGAACACCTCCTAGCGCACTGGTGGACCTCACGCCAGCTGGCCTGCAAGGGCAGGGAGCTGGGCCTGTGATGACTTCGGGAGCCCAGACAAAGGCAGGGAGCTTGGGAAGGGAGAGCCGAGCAGCCACCCATGTCCAGCCAGAGCACCTCCACCATGGCCGCACCCAGTGAACACCTCCCGCCCAGAGCGCGTCCCCTGCTGCCTGGCTCCAGTGATGGAAGCTGGAAGTTGGCTACAGGTTTTCAGCTGCTGCTTTATTTTCCTACGGGGCCCCATTTGAGCATGATTCTGTCCCGTTGAGCTTTTCCGGGACACCCTCCCTCGGCCCTCTGGAGGATGCATGGGGAGCCAGTGGTGCCCTAGGGGACTTGTAGAAGGACTGCTGCTCACAGGGAGCCCGGGCTGCCAGCGCGGCCTGTCCATGAGTGACACCCCCAAGTCTCCCTGGATCGGGGCCACCACCCTCTGGAGACTGGCTTGGGCAGGGCCCCCTGGCCTGGCCTGGAAGGGCAACTTTTGCTCCCTGCCATCCAGTGGGCACTCAGTCTGTCCTGGGGATCCGTGCCACATGCAGGAGCTGGCTCCAGGAAGCAGGCAGGCCGGGCCGGCGCCGTCAGCAGCTGGTCCTGGCAGGCAGCACCTTCACCCCCACAGGCCTCTGCCAGGTGCTCAAACGGTGTCCTGGCGTCTACTCTCACCCCCCATGGCCCGGCTGCCCCTTAGTTCCAGACCTTCCCAATCCCCTCCCTCCCTCCACCGTCCACGCGGGGCCTCCCTGCCTCCCTTCCTAGGCCGTCCCAGCCTGCCCACCCCTGCCCTTCTCCACCCTAGGTGCCCTCTCTGACCCTGGCCAGTGTGTGCTCTGAGGAACCAGAGGGCCAGCTGCTCCTCAGTACCTTCCACGAGAGCCGCTCGGCCCCTGGCATCAGCCTGGGTGGCATTCCCTCAGGCCCACACAGCAAGAGCGGGCAGGAGAGAGTGGGGAGCAGAGCAGCGCCCTGTACGCAGCCTGTGCAGCACTGTCCCGCTTCGCAGGCCAGGCAAGGAGCGAAGCTTGGCAAGGCTGAGCGCCCCTCCCACCCTTCTGCCTGCCCCGCCTCTCCCCACCCAGCGGGGCTGAAGGAGGCGCAGAGTAAGCCTGCCTGAGGCTGGACAGGGCCTGCACACAGGGCCCCCGCAGTGCCGAGACCCAAAGAGCCCACCACACCTGGCCCCGGTGCTGCTTCCCCAGCATCTGCTGCCCCTGTCCCGGGTTATGAAGATGAATGTGGAATGCCTGGCCCTGACTGCACTCGGAGGTGGGGAGTGGGCTGAAGGAGTGTTCTGCACGTCTCGTCCGGGTAGTTCCTCCGCCAGACTAGCCGCAGGAGTGCCCACAGGCCCAGGGCAGGCACAGCAGCGGCCTCGCACTCCGCCGTGCAGTGCCAGGGCGCCCTCTGACCGCCCCTCCCCTGCAGCATAGTTCACTGCTGGGGCAGTCTGAGGGCCAGGCCCTGCTGAGGCCACTGCATCCTCGGGCTCCGTGCTGCCCACGGGCGGGGGCCCACCCATGGCCGCTCAGAACACCACCCCACCCCGCCTCGTCTCTGGGTGAGCTTGGTCAGGCCACGCCAGCCTCCTGGGCTCCAGCTCCCCTCTGCAGGGTGGCAGCGGGGTGCACCAGCCCAGAGTGGGGTCCCAGGGAGACCCCGTGCCCGGTGCAGAGCGGGAGCTTGGAGCAGGGCAGCGGCTGCTATTCCCACAGGCTGGCGAGGCACAGGTTGCAGTGGAGCTCCCCGAAGAGCAGCGCTCAGCAGCCTCCGAGGGCCTGGCGTGCTGTGGCAGTAGAGGGACAGCGAGCCCTGCCCTCCGATTGTCCAGGGTGGGGTGGGGCGAGGCGCAGCTGGGGTCTTGCTGCTGCTGGAGGGTTTGGTTCCATTCAGGGCTGTTCCCTTTGGTTCCCTAGAGTTGAAGAGGACTTGGACCAGATTCTGAACCTAGGGGCCGAGCCCACGCCTAAGCCCAAGCCACCCGTGGCGGAGAAGCCAGCACTGCCCAGAAAGCCAGCTGTGCCCCCCAGGGCAGCCCCGCCAGAAGCCTCGCTCACACAGCAGAGGCGACAGCAGCAGGTCCAGGCGATGGACGAGGTGGGCATCTTGCAGTACATCCAGGACCACGAGGCACAAGCCCAGGCCCCTCCCAGCCTCTTCTGACCTGAGCTGCGCACCCTCCCGTGGGGCCTGCCGCGTCCCTGAGGACCTCCAGTCCCGGGCGCATGGGGGAGTCGGGGCCTGGCCACGCCATCGTCCTTCTGTCTCCAGCCTGCTTGACTGGAGCCTGGAATAGAGGGGTCAGCACGGGAATTGACCCCCGCGCCCTCCCTTCCGGCCAGTGTGGAGGGGAGTGGTAGGGGCCTTGCTCACCTGCTCCCCGGTGCCTGGCTCCGAGCTCGGGCGGAGCCGTTAGGGCCCAGGGAGGCACCAGCCGGCACAGAAAGGAAGGCCTGGGGGCTGCCGGGGGCTGCTCTGCTCGGCTGCCAGCCTGGAGGAGGACCCGAGGAGCAGCCTACGCGTCCTGGACCTGCAAGCCCAGGTCTCCCCTGCACATCCTCCCCGGTCCTGGCCACAGCCAGCGTCTGCCAGAACAGCTGTCAGCAGCGTGGGCCGGCGCATCCCCGATCTCGGCTCCTCACGTGGGTCCTGGTGCTCTAGGCCCCATCCAGGGCTCTAGGCCTTCTTGGTGGCCTTTACCGGGGTACTGTATGCGGGGCAGGCCGGCGCCTCACATGGTGCCTGGGCACCACGCAGCTTGAACCCGGCCACGGATGCTGTTTCGGGGAGCAGAGGATGTCGGGCCATGTCTCCTGGACGTGTTCCTCATACTCAGAGCCGGTTTTCAATGAAACGCAAGTGTTGTTCACAAAAGCAACCTCTGTGGTGCTTGGCCCTGTCCTTCAGGGGGCCCGTGAGTGGGAACAGGAGCCAACCCTGGGGAGCCCTTGGTGCTGGGCCAGGTGCTGGGCTCTCGGGGTCTGGTGTCCCCACTTGCGTGCAGGCCAGGCCGGGCCAGGACCCTGAGACCCATCAGTCACGTGCCCAGCTCCCTTGCTCTGGGCAGGCCACCCGCCAGAGTGGCTCTTGGTGGCAGCCAGCTGGGGCCCTCCTTCCGCCCTGCGGCCTGAAGCGCAAGTCCCCGCCCAGGACCAGCCCTGCTCGGGACAGCTCCCTCTGGCTCCTCCTCCCTTTCTCGGCCAGGTTGTGGCGCCAGCCCCGTTCACAGGCTCTGCCAGCCACGAGGCCGGCCCCTCCCTGGGAGCCACTCACCCTTGCTGGCCCCTTCCCCTGCTTTGGGGGCTGGTGAGACAGGAGCAGGGGTGTGGCAGCAGGGTAGCCGTAGAGGGGACCTGCCCTTCTGGTGTGCTTCTCCACTGCAGCCTGGCCTCGGTGGCTCGGTGCTCTGAGTGGCCCAGCTGTGCCCATGCTCGCTGCAGGTCTGTGACCCAAGCCAGTCCTGACACCCAGACGCCAGTGGAGTCTGCCGAAGTCGTCCAGCACTCCTTAAGGCTGTTTTCATGCCTAGGCTCACCGGAGACAGCTGCATGTGTGTGGTCGGGGCGGATCCTCACGACCAAGAACTGCCCCACCCGTGCCCGGCCTCCGGCTGCTCCTGTAGGGAGGGTGCCTGGAAGGGGAGCAGTCGGTCCTTCCCCACCATGTAAACTGAGGCAAAACCCATGTGGGAGGGGACCGCTTCCCCCTCCCCATGGGCTGGACCAGGGTGATGTCACACAGCTCCGCCGGTCTGCAGACCCACCTGTTCTGTCCTCAGCATTCCTGCCCCAGCTCGGCTCCACAGTGCTGCCAGATCGGGCCACCCAGAGGTCCTGGTGCTCACCGCACTGCAGGCTGCACCCCGGGGAGCGAGAGGCAGGACTGGGAACCGGGAGGCTGCGCGAGGGACTGTGAGCAGACTGCCCTGGGCGGCCAGAGTGGAGCAGGGCCAGAGCCCAGCCCCTCCCCCAGGGCCGCCTCTCCTCCCCAGGCCGTGGGTTCAGATCTGGCAGCCAAGATGGAATGGGCTCTTGGTTCCCAAGGGCAGACCATGGGCCCATCAGTGGAGGCGCACTCAGCCCCAGGGGTGCGGCCGAGGCCCTGTGGGAAGAGACGGGCTGTGCTCAGGACCTCTGCGTGTAAGCCGGGGGACAGGGAGTACTGTCTGTGGCTGGAGTCCGTCTGTTCCCTTCTTGGCACTGCCCCGCAGGAAGCTGTGCCTCGGGCCAGCTCTGCAAGGTCCCGGTCCTGGCGTGGCCAGTGTCCAGGGCTCCACCTGAGACCCCTGTTCACCTCCGACCTGTGACCGTGCCAGCACACGTCCAGACCCGAGCTGCCCCACGTCCTTGTGGACTGCCCTGGCCCCCTGGCCCTCGTGCTTGGTGCAGATGAGACAGCAAAATCTAGCCGCTCCCAGGGTCCCATGGCCTTCATATCTGGCTGTCACCTGGGCGTTGTGGCAAGAGACTGTGCAGGGGAGCTGACCCCCCGGGGCCAGGCTGACAGGGAAGGCTGCATCCTGAGAAAGGCCTGCAGAGCTGCCAGTCACACCGGCTAGTGGCCATACTCCTCGCTGGCACATTCAGCTGCCAGAGCCACTTTAATCACCAAAGTTCTTGGTTCTGGTTCTGGATGTGGATGGCCTCACTCCCTGCACTCTGGTTGGCCCAAACTGTCCCGCTTTGTGGCCGGTTCCCTGCAGCCCAGGAAGCTGTCCTGTCCAGGGCAGGTGAGGAGGGGAAGCACAGGGCATCCTGGCGAAGCAGCAGCCCGGCCCTGTGGCCTTGGAAGGGTCTAGGTCCAGGCCGGCAGGGCTGTGTGGAGCCCCTCACCCCATGATCCGGAGCAGAGCGAGACACCCTGGGCTCCAGGCACCAGGCGCTCTGGGACCTCATGGGGACCCTGCCCAAGGCTAGCTGGCTACTGAGCGGAAGTGGCAGTGCTAGGTGGGCAGTCGTAGACCCGCCCCCTCCAGCTGAGCCTGGGCTCTCGGCTGCTCGCTGGACATCGATTCGCACACTAGGCACTGCTGTGACAATGGGTGCTGCATGTGTGCAGACACCGTCCCTGCCCTGCACAGCTGCCCTCGGGCTCGTTTCCTGTGGCTTGGCCACTGCCAGCAGCTGAAGGGTTACGTTTTTCAGGTCACACTCAGGGCAGAGCCATTGCTTCTGGCTCAGGGGTTATGAGCTCAGCGCGACAGCATTCTCGCCGGTTCCCAGGCCTGGTGCTCCTCTGCCGGCTCAGCAAACAGTACAGCCTCTGACTCAAGTGTTTAGTGACCTGGTTGGTCATGTAGTTCCTCGTCCCCAAGATTCAGTGGGCACCTGCTGAGTTCAGGAGCTGGGCCCTGTCAGACATGGGGAGTCGCCGGGGTGGCCCAGGAGGGAACACAGAAGTGTGCGTCATGCTGGGTGGCTGTCACAGCTTGGCAAGTGAGCACAAGCTGCTAGGGGCAAAACGCAGGGACAAGCAGGGCAGAGGGACAAGGAGCTGGGTGGGTGTCCACGCTGCTGTGTGCCTGCTGCCTGAGGGCCGTGCCAGGCAGAGCAGAAGCCTGGGCTGATAAAGCCCGTCCCGCCCGGGCCACACTGGGCCCAGTTCCCGATTCTGCTCGATTCTGCTCTTTGGTTCTCCCGTGCAGACATCAGACATGCGCCTCGGCCGCCTCCCAGCCCTGCAGTCTGAGCCCAGCTTGTGGTCCTGAAGTAAAGGGCTCTCAGCACCAGCGTGGCTCCCTCCCGTCCTGGAGGTGAGCGTCTGAGAGCAGGGTGTGCCCCGGGCTGTGGAGGGAGAGCCCCTCGTTGGTGCCTCCTGGCTTCCGGTCTTCACACGAGAGACGCCCTCTTATGTCTGTCTGCCGTGTGTCCACATGGCCTGCCTGTTAGACCACCAGCCATGGATTAGTGCCCACCCTAATCTCATGAACCTCAGGCTGCCTTTGTCCCATCTACAGCGACCCTGTTTCCAAATAAGACCATCCTCACCGGTTTCAGGTGGATATGCATGTGGTGTTTGGAAGTAGACTGAGGCAGGAGCATCATCCCCTTCTGATCTGCAGAGCTGTGGCCTCTGCCAGGCCCTGTGCTGAGCTCTGATTTCGGGCTCTGTCCACATGGCCTCGGGCCCCACTGGAGCATCAGCGCAGCTCCGAGCTGTCCACTGGAGTGGGCAGCCGCCTTCCGGAGCAGCGCGCTCAGGGATGCCTTGCAGAGTGGGGCCCTTTCCCGGGCAGCAGGCTCCCCATCATCTTTGCTGGGCCTCTGGGCTCAAAGCCACACTGCTGGGCAGCTCCAGCTTCCAGAGCAAGGGCCCTGGCGATTCCTGCCCCCCTGCGTGCTGCAACTGGTTCCCCTGCCGGGCGGGGCAGCATCTCCAGGCTTCTGCTCCCGCTTCCCCTGCTGTTTCCCGGCCGCCTGGCCGACCCGGCCAGTTTGCTCAGACTGGGAAGTAAACACAGGGCTCTGCTCCACCTGCTTCCCGGACATCAGAGGCCACCCGGGGGCCAGGCTGGACTCCGGCCACCCATGACGGGTCGCTGCTCTCCCACGTGGTTCCGGGGCCTGAGGGAGGCTTCCCGGGGACAGGACCCAGCATGGGCGCGGGACATGGTGCAGCAGCTTGGGAAGACATTCAGTAGTTTTAAAGAGTTCGCAGCACAGCAGGTCCGCTCAGGTCCACTCAGGTGTGTGCAGAGAGCAAGGGACTATGCGTGTCCACACAAAGGCTTACCACAGGTGCCCACTGGCTGTCACCGCAGCCAGGGCCCACCAGCTGGTGACCCGGTAAGGAAGACGGTCACGGTCATGCGGTGGGATATCACCTGGCCATAAAAAGGAAAGGCTGCTACTTGCTACCACGTGGAAACATCATGCTGAGCGAAAGAAGCCGGACTATAAGGATCCCAAGTTACACAAGTCTGCTTCCATGCAATATGCGGGCAAACCTGCAGAGACAGAAAGTAGGTTAGTGGCTGCTGCAGGGTGGCCTGGGCCCAACAGCGACTGCAAATGGGCACGGAGGACCTTTCTTGAGGTGGTGGGACCTCACACAGTGCCACAAATCTGCCAGTCACTCAGAGGGGCAGGTGGTGTGGTATATAAGTTACACCTCTATAAAACCATTAGGAAAACAAACAGGCGGGCCTCCGGGTGCAGCACCTGAGGGTGGGAGCCCGACCCTGGCCGTTCCTTCCTGCTCTTCCTTCCTAGGGGCAGCACCGCACTTGCCTGACGGGTGTCCCGGGCTGGGGCCAGCCGGTGTCTGGAAAGTGCTCCCATCAGTGCCTGGTGCCTGGTGTGTGAGGCGAATGACAAATCACGGCGCGCGTGCTGCCTGGGAGCCGCAGGGTTGGAACGGCCTCCTGTCCCCGAGAGGGAGGGCTGGCGGTGGGAGGAGAGGCTGCTCCCGGAGGGGTCCCGAGTGCCAGCCACGTCTTCTGTGAGCTGCTCTCGCTCTGCCGCCTCTGTGAGGGGATCTGGGCAGGCGCGTGGGGCCTGGGCCCGGGCCTGGGGTGGACGGTGTGGGCGGAGGAGGGATAGCCTGGGAAGGAGGCCTTTGACTGGAGCACCATCGCATCGGCCGGGTCCCTTGATGCTCCTCCCAGCTCACCCTCAGCACCACGGACACAGGAAATGAAGGCCATGTGCTCTCTCGGGCCCTGACCTTTTGTTCAGAGCAGCTCACGGGCAGGGAGCGGCCCTGGAGAGGCCTTGCGGTCCTGCAACCCAGGCCCCGCTGGGCCCTCTCCCAGGCCTGCCCCAGCGTCACATCCTGGGGTGCAGCCAGCATCCCCTCCCTTCCGGAACCCCACGCAGACCTGCACGGTGGTCAGCGAGGCGTCACTCCAGGGAGCCCCCACCCCACCCCAGGAAGCACCCAGGTATCCGTCCTGGGTCCGAGGATAAACTCGAGGTGCTCACTGTGTGTGGTGCCAACCCTCCGTGGGGAAAGGGAGCTTCCGGCTAGAATGTGGAGGAATGGGCTTCAACACCGTGCTACGTGAAACAAGCCAACCGAACCCCAGGCCGAGGGTTTCTGTGGCGTTCTGGTGCTGAGCAGACCGGGTGGCAGCGCCGGCCTGGGGCCCAGGAAGCCTGCTGTGGTGACAGAGGCCTGGGGCTGGGTATGACACAAACGCTCACCAAATGCGCCGCACTGTGCACCCGACGGGGGTCTTGTGCACTTCCGTTACACCTCAGTAGAGCTGGCAAAGGACGCAGCGCCCCCAGATGGAACACGCACTGGACAACCCAGCAATCGAGGTCCTTGGCATTTGCCCGGCGGGGCTGAAAGCCGGCCCACACAAACCCTGCACAGATGTGGACAGCAGCTTTATTCCTCATCGCCAAAGCCCGGGAGCCGCTGAGTTGTGCTCCAGACGAGTGTCCCTGTACTGCAGTATTTCCGCAGGACGGAAGGACTCGGCACTGTGAGAAACGAGCTGCCGGCCCCCAATGGTTGTGAGGAACCAGAAGTCCGTATTCCTGAGTGAAAGGCGGTATGATTCCCATTCTATAACATTCGGGGGAAAACTATAGACAGCAGGAAGCCCAAAGGGTGCCGAGGATTAGAGGGAAGGAGAGATTCGGGGCAGAGGCCGGGGCCTGTGGGATGTGACAGGGCGCTGTCATTGCACACCGTCGCTTTACACTGTCCAGACCCCAGGAGCCCTGTGAGCTGCGTGTGGACTTCAGATGCTGGGGAGGCATCCGGGTCAGCTGTGATGTCCGGGAAACATCAGATGTGTGGGTCAGGAGTAAACAGACTCTGCTTTCTGCTCGGTTTTGTGGTGAACCTAAAACTGCTCTTAAAAAGTAAATCTATGTAAAAACAGAACAAGAAGCAGAAGGAGCCTCCTGGCCCCAGAGGATGTCAGCACTGTGAAGACAAGGAGACCCCGAGACCCCTGGGAAGTGAGGCCCAAGGCCCCGTGTCCTGGAAGCTCTGGGCACCCGCTGGCTGGCCTCAGTTCCTCGAGTGCGTCTTTCTGTCCTGACGCCCTCTTCCCTGCGCTGTCCGAGCGGGCAGTGGGGACGACACTGACGGAAGCCCCAGGCCGCGCACCTTCCAGGGTGAAGCTGAGAGCAGCCTGGGGGGCAGGCAGGCACCCCAGGGCTCCAGCAAGCTTCAGGACTGGGCTTGTGGCCCCCAGGAGACAAGGGGAGATGCTGGGCCTCTGGGGTGGCTTTGAAGCTCACCGAAGTCTCCCAGGCCCGGGATGACAGGGCGCCCGCCCGCCTGCCCGCCTGCCTGCTCCTGGGCAGTGAGGGCTGCTGGTGCTGGCCCCCTCCAGGGGCGGGGCTGACAGTGCCTCAGGGCAGGGTCCTGGGGGCCCAGACATGCTCCCCGCTGCCGGCAGTGTCCCCAGGAGACACCGGGCTCCTGGGCTATGCTTGTCTTGTAGTTGCAGGCCAGGAATGTCACACACGCCTGTGCCTTGCTTTAAACCCTGGACGCTGTTGCTGCTCCTGAGCAAGAGGCGGCCTCCTGCTGGTGCTTCTGCTTTCTTCCTGTTGCGCTGGGGCTCTGGGCTCAGCCTGAGGAGACCCCATACGCCTGGGTCTCCAGGGCCCTCCGTGAAGGGGGAGCCATCGAGGCCACGGCCAGGGTCCCCGCAGGGCAACTGCAGTCTGTCACTCAGCTGTACCCTGCCCGACCTGTCTTCTGAGGGACTTAGTCCACGGAGAATTGTCTCTCTTCTCTTTGCGTATCAGGCTCACATTCGTGAAGTTTCATTTAGATTCATTTCGGTTTCCAAGAATATGTTAAAGTTCATTTACGTTTTCAAGAATATTGTCCATTTACCTAGATTTCAGATATCATTCATTCTCTTACAACTTTAAAAACTGTCTTTATATTTATGGCATTAGTTCAGAAAATAATTGAAGACAGGCGCTCAAAACTTGTACAAATACATTCATAGCGGCACCATTCACAGCAGCTAAAAGGTGGAAATAAGCCAAGCATTTATGGCTGATGAGTGAATAGAAAGAACGTGGCACTGGAATACAGATATAATGGAATATTATCCAGTCATAAATTACATGAAGTACGGCAGTAAAATATCATTACACGAAGTACTAAAACACACGGTGATGTGGAGGGACCCTGAAAACGAAGCTGAGCGGAGGAAGCCGATCCCAAAGGCCGCGTGCTATTCAGCTCCCTCTGCATTTACTGCTCCAAACCGGCAAGTTCTCGGGCACAGAGGACGGGACAAGTGGTTGCCAGGCCGAGGGGCAGGATTCGTGGGAGTGACTGCTTGATGGATGAGTTTTCCTTTCAGGCTGAGGGTTGCAGGACAGTGTGAACGTCGTGAGTCACCACGGAGCTGCTCACTCTCGAGTGGTTCAAAGATAAATCTTAGGGCATGTGTGTTTATCAACTCCCGGCCCCCGGAGTGTCTCGGGTACGATGGGAACAAGCCCAGGAGGAAGGTGGCCTGGCTGCTGGGCCAGAGGACATGGAGTGATGCTGGCAGTGTACCACGGTGACCTCAGAAATCTAGGGGTGCGGAGCAGGCAGGTGGGGAGCAGCATGTTTCTACAGCTGATGTTGACATGCTGGGAGAAGAAGCTGCTGCCAGCTGCAGGCCGCCCGAGTTAGAGAGAGCACGTTCGTGTGCGTGCGTGCCTGCGTGCGCGCATTCCTGTGGCTAAAATGGGCTGGGACTTACCCTCCTTGGCCACGCCCAGGCTGAAGACAACCTCTCCTCTGCCCTGGCAGGAAGCGTCCGGAGCGCCGCCAGGACATCTGCTTCATCTTCCTTGGCAACAAAAGGCGCCCTGAGAGGGACTCTAGGCTGGGGACTGGGAGCAACCCTAACCCTCCTCCTTTTCTCCTGCAGGAGTGGACAGGAGCTCCAGCCTGGAGTCTCAGAGAGCGCCCCATGCAGGAAGGCAGGTTTCACACCCAGGGAGGCCCAAGGACCCCTGAGCACCTGGGCCGGGAGCAGAGTCCCTTGCGTGGGGCAGCTCCTCCGCTGGGACCTGTTTGGCTTCGGACCCCGGTGAGCTGTCCAGGAGAAAGACGGGGCCTTTGGCTCAGACAGGTGGGTGCGAATCTCCACTTCCTCCATCAGTGACCATGGGCAAGTCTCCACATCCTCAACTGGAAAAAGGGACAAACAGCCAAGCGTGGTGGCGCCTGCCTGTGATCCCAACACTCTGGGCGACGTAGCGACTTAGCAAGGACCTGTCTTAATAGACAGAGTTGAAAAAGGCTAGGGATGTAGCTCAGTGGAAGGCCCTGGGCTCAATCCTCAGTGGTCATTAATTAATTAATTAATTGGCAAGGAAATAGCACCAATTTCCGGTTTGGTGTGGGACTCAGTGAGTGAGTGCAGTGCGGGGAACACCTGAGTGGAGCTGAGCTGCCTGCAGGGCTCCGAGTGCTCCCCAGGTCCCATGTCCTGGTCTTCCATTCTCTACCAGAGCCCTGGCGCTGACATGCTGCAAGTTCAGTACTGAGAACTCTGTCCCAGGGCTGTGCCTGGGCAGACTCAGGAGCCCAGAGAAGCGAGGTGCAGGGTGCAGACTAAAACCTACTGATCCTGGACAGGCTCAGCAGGCTCATGACCACTGGCCTGGGCCAGCCACCTCTCAGAGCTCTCCCCCCGGAGGCTCCCTGGGGCACGGGGGACCGGAAGGCGCCCTTGGCTGGACAGCAGCCCCTGGCCTCTAGGCCTGCACTGGGTCTCCGGCCCATGGGGTCCAATGGACTGTTATTTAAATACTGAACTGGGGCATGGTCCCTCCCGGCTCTGCCCTTCCCCTGCTTCCTGGCTGCGTGAGGTGAGGCGCGTTCCTCGGCCAGACCCCCACTTGCCTTCCTGGCAGCTGTGGACCACCCTCTCCTCCTTGCAGCGGTGGGTGTCAGAACTGCCTCCCGCTGGCGATTGCTCTCGGGCCTGGCTCTTGCTCCCAGGCCACTCAGTGGGCGGAGCAGGGTGATGACTTTTTGCCCATTTCCTAAGCAGCTTTATTGAGATACAATTCATGTATCTCATAATTCACCCAGTTAAATTGTACATTAATGGCTTTTATTATATTCAAGTATTGCCCAACTACCACCAAAACCAGTTTTACAGCATTTTCACCACCTCAAAGAGGAGCTGCATTCTCCTTAGCTGCCACATTCTTGTCACCCAACCCTTCCAGGCTTGAATAGAAACTTCCTGTCCCTTTTTATTTGCCCCTCTGGACATCTCATACAGATGGAATGATATAATATGTTTTTGGTAATCCCAACTTCTTTCTCCTAGAGTAATATTTTCAGGGTTCATCCTTGCTGTGGGATGTGTTGGTCCTGGATTCCTTTTTATGGCCAAATAATATTCCCTCGGGTGGATAGACCATATTCTGTTTGCCCATTTATCAGTTGATGGTTATTGTGAATAATGTTGCTGTGAATATTCATGTATAAATTTCTGAACAAATCTATGTTCTCAGGGTTTTTTAGGTTATTCCCAGGAGTGGAATTGCTGGGACATAGGGTAATTCTGTGTTTAACTTTTTGAGGAACTACTAGATCATTTTCCAAAGTGACTGTACTGTTTCACATTTCCCCCAGCAGAGCATGAAGTTCCGGTTTCTCCCCATCCTCCCTGACACTTGCCAGTGTGTTTAGTTACAGCTATGCTAACTGCAGAAGCATCTTGTCTTGGCGGGCATCTCCCTGATAACTAATGACTTTGAGCATCTTTTCATGTGCTTAGTAGGCATTTGCATATCTCTGGAGATGTCTATACCTTTTGCCTATTTTACAATTGGGTTATGTGTCTTTTTATCACTGAGTTGTAGAAGTTCCTTATGCATGTAGATGTAAGTGCCTTATAAGACATGTGATGTCCAAATCTTTTCTCCCATCCTCTGGGCCATCGTTTCCCTTTCTTCATGATATCCACTGAAGCACTAAAGTTTTCAATTTTGATGAAGTCCAGTTTTTCTGGACTTCACAGTGGTTGTGCTTTGGGGACCCTAGACTTCCCAGTGTTTAAAGTGATACTTAACATAGAGAAATATGCCCAGACCCAAATAGTTTTAAAAGGAATCTACTGAAGAAGCAATCATAAAGATTGAAAATTGTTCAAGAGCTGTTGATTTTTTTTGTTTTTGCTTTTCATACCCGTATTTTTTTTAATTCTTTCATTATATTCCACTTCATACCACAAATAATTTGATGTCACTTTTGAAAATTCAAATAAGATAAAATGCCATAAATAAAGAATTCTGGGCAAATTGTAAGTATGCAACTAAGATGAATCCAAGACTAAGGTAGAATGTAGAATTACATACACAGAGCTTTTCAGGGTCCAAGGCAAAGAGGGAAATGCAATTATTTATAATATTCACAGTCCTGAGATATAAAAAATCAATAATTTAATTGAGACATCTCTTCTTCTGGCACAGAGGCCAGAAATAAATTTCCTGCATGGATTGCCTTAAAGGGAGAATACAGCTGGACTTACGGGTGGAGGAGAGCACACATATAATGTCCCTTGTCGCTTATGTTTTCACAGCTCACCTTTCTTTGTGTTTCTGGACCTGTATCTCTGTCTTCCTGCCCCACACAAAACTGTCTTTGAAGTAAGCTTCTGAAAACATAAATAAGGGCCGGGGGAATAACTCAGTGGCAGAGCACAGGCCCAGCACGAGCAAGCCCCTGGGTTCCATCCTCCGACACCAAAAGTAAATATAAATCAAAAATAAAAATAGGAAACACAGATATGGGCACCTCACTTCCTTTAGTCTTCAGCAGCTCCCAGCAGCTGTCAGGATAAAATGTAGCATGACTTACCTGTCTTTAACTTCGCTTACGAGCTATGTCGTGCTTTAACTCCTGCCCATGGGACCGTCAGTTCTGGACCCACTGCTAACCAGGACCCAGCCTGCCATTGAGGTCAGATCTAGGTCGTCCTACTCTTCTCACACTCCTAACACGTGTGTGTGTGTGTGTGTGTGTGTGTGTGTGTGCGCGCTTTCCAAGGTGGGAGCAAATTAGAGCCACCGCCTTAAAAGAGTTGAGAGTTGGACAGGTGGAATGCAGGCACTGACAGGGTAGCCTGAAAAACTTAAACACCAACCTAGGAATTCAGTGAGTGCAGACACGGACACCAGCACTTCTGCTCCCCCAGGAGCCCCGAAGATCCAAATGTTAGTATCGGATGTGGAAGAATTTGGCCTCTTGTTCACGATGAAAATTATGCTTATTTTTATCATCCTCTATTCTAGGAAGGCACGAGAATATGAGTGCTGCTTAGAGAAATTGTCTTATGCAGTCATTGCTCAGTACTGGTGGGGGTTCAGTTCCCTCTTGGACCCCAGAGTTCCTAGAAGTTCAAGTCCCTTGTATAAAAGGGCAGAGCATCACACACCCTCCTGTGTCCTTTAAGTGATCTCTGGGTCACCTGTAATACAAGGACAATGGAAATACGTTGCTATTCCATATTTTTTAGGAAATAATGACAAGAAAAAAGTCTGTAAGTGTTTATTACAGACACAATTTCCCCCACATGTACTCAGTTAAAGGTTGGTTGAATGTGTGGATGCAGGCCAACCATACACTGGTTAATAACAAGACAGTTTGGTAAGTATTAGCATTTAAATTAATAAAATATTAATTCCAAAGAAACTTGATTCTTTAAAATAGTACCTTTTCATGAGGGAAAGAATGACACTAATTTTTTAGTACGTGTGTACCGAAACGAGCACAGTCTACACTAATTTTTAAGGAAATAGAAAGTTTTTAGAGATACAAGAGAAATTCATATTCATTACAGAAAATACAGGTAAACCAAAATTTAAAATCCCACATACTTTCACTTCTCAACGCTAACTACTGCTAAAATTTGAAATATTTTCTTCTGTATCTTTACTGTATGTACATATGTACACATTTTTTTTTTGGTACCGGGGATCGAACTCGGGTCCTTGTGCTTGCGGGCAGGCAGTAGAACCACTGAGCTAAATCCCCAGCCCAATGTACACATTTTTAAACAAAATGTCATCTTACTGACAGATTTTGTGGACTTGCTTCCTCGGGGTCATGCAGATTTCCATTTCATGCACATAATCACCGTCATCTCCGAGTGGCCGGGGCCTGTGCTGCCCCACTGTGCCATGCATCGGGTAAGGAGCCATTTTGGGTTACTTCTACTGCTCCTCCTCCTCCTCTAGTTCCGGGTGGCTTTCTGGACTGTGCTGGAACTGCTCTCTTTAGTTTTCTAGGTTGGCTGTGACTTGAAAGCCCGCTGTGTCTCCTGGCAGGGCCCCTGCTGTTTGTAATAGTGGCTCTTTGTGGCTTGCTGAGAACAGAGCTCTATTAATCTCTTTTTGTCTGACCTCAGCCAACCTCGACCTCGGTGGGGGCAGGATTCTTAGGTCCTTGGGACTCTTTGGAGCTGTTGTCATAGTGACCGTGGGGGTAGGGTCCCTCGGCCAGTGTCGCTAACCAGACCATCTCTGTCTTAATGATACCCACAGGCCATAGCTGTCCAGTTCTGAGTGAGCAGAGAGAAGAGACTGGCCAGGCAGCAAAGCCAGACTTTGGTTGGACTGCACTGAGGCCAGGGCACCCAGGAGATTTCTAGGGCCTGGCTGGCCTGCCCAGAAAGGCCCGATGGGTGAGACTGCTGTCTCCCAGTGCAGAGCCACTCCCAAACCCAGGGCCCCAGCCCCTGCAGACATCTCTGAAGAAGCCCTCTCGAGCATCCTGAGGCTCTGGAGGTAAGCAGCATGCAGGGCAAGCCCCTTGTCGCCTGAGGCCAGGGCTGGAAGGCCTGGGTGGCTCTCAGGCCCAGCTCCCCGCTTCAGATGGGGAATCAGCGATGGAGCTGTGCCTAATTGGAAACCATTTGGCAATTCCGGAGCCGCTCAGTCCTTCCCACCTCCCACCTCTGACAAGGAGCTCATTTGGAGTCTTTTTAAAGCAGCTGGTATTTTTACAGTAAGTTCTTTAAGTCTGATCTTTTTTTCTAAGTGCTTTTTTTTTTTTAATTACACAAATAGTCCATGAGTACATTTTCCTTGGGAAAAAAATAGAACATTGCAGATAAGACTCCAACTCCTCTGGCCTCTGCCCACAATCCCAGGGCCCTCCGCATACAGAGTCCTACTTTGGTTTGTGTCCGACTGTGATTTCAAATCATCTAAATCTCGCTTGCTAGACTCGAGTGGCCTGGACAGTTGGGGTGACATAGTTCCATGTCCCCAGATGGACATGAGCCCAGGCACCTGGCTGAGGCTGGGGCGCCCCTTTGGCTTCGTGGCAGGATTTGCCCCCTGGCTCTGGGAGTGCCAGTGAGACAGGACATGTCGGGTTCCTGTGCTTTGCCCCACTCAACCTGGGCTATGACAGCTCCTCCATCTTCTTGCCCGCTTCCTGTTCCAGAGTCCCAGCAGCCCCTGCTGCAGGCCTGGCTTGAATGCCAGGATCTGGACAGAGGAAGACACTCACCCAGGCCTAGCAGTCTCTGCAGCCAGTCGGCGGACCCCAGGGACAGTGCTGAGGCTGTAGGCCGCATGCCAATGCACCTTGCCCCGTTCCTGCCGTTCTCCCCTCACTTTCCTTTCCTAGTGTCCGCCCCTTCTCTTCTGGCTCCTAGGATCCCTTCCAGAGAGAAACTCAGCTGGCTTCTCACCCTAGAGAAGAAAGAGGGAGCTTGAAAAGAAGAACTCAAAAAGCACAGTGATCGAACCAAAGAAAGAAATCTCAAATGATAGAAATTCAGACCTTGAAGACCAGTCACGGGGAGGAAGGAGGCCTTCCTGGCACGCAGAGCGGGTGCCACGTTCCTGACTTCCTGTGTCTGACCTCCCCTGCTGGGGCCATCTCTCCTGACGGAGGCTGGGCCTGGCTCCAAGCGCTGAGCTTAGGAGGCAGCCTGCTCCCCTCCAGGCCCTCTGACCGCAGAGCAGCCGAGGAAGGATAACAAGTTCTGAAAAGAACAACAAAGGCTTGTGGGCTGGGAAACAGGAAGTGGGGCTTCTGCACTTGCAGTCTTCCAGTCCCACCACAATCTCAGGGCACGCTCTCCATTGCTAAGTACAGAGAAATCACAGCCAGCCGGCTTCTGGTTTGCTTCCTTGTTTTGGTTAAAATCAGTGGAATTTCTTTTCCTCAAGCAAAAAATCTTACCCAGAGCTCTAAAAAACATGACATGAAATCAGTAAGAAGGCTTCCCCAGTGAAGTATTTTCTTGGCCCAAGTGAGAGGACACCACGCCTCCCTGTGGAATTGGACAACTGGGTTAACTGGGTAACTATGCTCTTTGTAGAATGCACCTGAGTAACCTTGACAGCTTCTGGAATCTGTCACGAAAGGAGCAGAACAGACTCACAAAGTCCTGCCAGAGCTCTTGGCCCACCCCCTCCCCGTGCTTTGTGTAAATCCTGCTTGCCATATTCCCAGGGAAACTCCAATGAAAATAAGCCTCGTAGATGTAAAAGAGGTACAGAAAGAAGAGCGAACTTCTCTTCAGGCTCTCGAGACTGACAGGAGCCACTGGCTGAGCCACCGGCCATAAAGCCAGTTTGCTCCTTCTTTGTGTGTCAGAGTGCTCTGTCCAGGTGTCCCCACAGTTTCCTGCTTCAGACGAACGCTAATGGTCATGGAATCTCTAAGTTCCTACAGCTCCGTTTTGATCCTCTGTCCTCAAAGTCAGCTTCTTCTGCACCTGGGAAAACCAACGGCAGAGACTGTTGGCCTGCTGAAACTCTCAGGACAGCAAAGGTGGCACCAGGTTCCCCAGAAATCCTTCCAGGGCTCTAAAACCAGCATAAGCCCTTCCTTAGTCCAAAATGGTAACTTTGAACAGAAGCAGAGCTGCTGAGGGTGAGTTGAGTGAGGTGCAGAGCTGCCTAAAGCGGGTTGCTTTGGCTCCTACGGCCCAGGAAGTGACCTTGGCTCGAGTTGTGAGAGAGATGACTGTTTCCTGCTGGGCTGTGACATGTTCTAGGGCCACATCATACACATGAAGGAGCTGTGCTAGGGCCTGGGATGGGAACGAGGCGCCTTTGGGCTGCAGGTCTCATGGCCCAAGTCTGCCCTTGGCCTCCCCCTTGAGTAGAGCTCAGAGAGCACCCCAGCTGAGCCACTGCATGGGTGCTTGACAGGGCCTGGCCTGGGTCCTAAACACTCTCAAGGGTCCAGATCCCACCAGCAGTTGCTACAGGGGCACCTCTGGGCACCCAGCCCAGCAGGCGTGGGAGTAAACAGAAAGGGTCATTGGAGAGGAAGGCCCGGGGAAGGGGGAACAGCGCACTGGCAAAAGAAGGTCACTTTGGCCGAGCATGGGAAGGAGGGAGGGCTTGAGATGAATGTCGTTTCTGTTTGGGGCTATGCTTTGGCTGCCAGGAAACATACCATGAGTCGCCTGCAGTGGCACGCACCTGTCACCCCAGCACTCTGAGGCTGAAGCAGGAGGATCGCAAGTTGATCCCGGCCTGGGGCACTTAGTGACTTAGCAAGACCCCGCCTCAAAATTTAGAAAAAGGGCAGGGCGGGTTGGTGCTGGGAATGCAGCTCAGTGCAGAGGCTGGGTTCAGTCCCCAGTAACAGACACATGCGCGCACGCACGGAGGATCAGGTGGTTTATAAACAACAGAAATTTATTTCTTGCAGCTCTGGCAGTTAGAGGTCCAGCATCGAAGTCCTTGCTGACTAGACATCCGGTAAGGACACAGACAGTGTCGTCTCGCTGTCTTCCTGCATGGAAAGGCAAGATAGGTCTCCGGACCTTTTTTTAAGAGCACCTGGTCACTGCGTAATGACCCCAGCGCTAACACTGTTACAGAGCCGATTGCATTTGGGCGTGAGTTCTGGGGTTCTTCTGGGGGACCGGCTCTGCCTGGCAGCCCAGCCTTTCTGCAGGGCACAGCCACACCTGCCCAGCCTGCATGGGCACGCTGCCGTCAGCTCCACACACAGGTGGAAAATGAGGTCCAACCCTGCCAGAGCAGCCTCCTGGATGGGCGTGGCAGTCTCCCCAGCCCATCGCTCCAGGTGCAAGGGTGCCCCCTGTGTGGGGAGGGTGCGCTGGGCTGTCTCTGACCCAAGGAGGTGCTGAGGTCGGAATGCTCGTGGCCCTCAGTGTCGAACCCCGCCCGTGATGAGGCGTCCGGAGGGAGGGCGGAAGGGGTTGGGAGGGCTTGGGAGGTCGGAGTCCTGCCTGGGGTCCTGGCCTTCCAGAAGAGCCCTTCCACTGCGCGGGCACACAGGAAGACGCTGCCGCCAGCAGCCGGCGAGCGGCCCCACCACACGAGGAATCTGCAGGCCCTTGGTCTTGGGCCTCCTGCCTCTAGAACTCAGATCATTTCTGTTGTTGTTAGGCCTCTCGGCGTGTGGCGTTTTGTTTTATAGCCTGACAGGATGAGGACAGGAGGCCTCACTTCCAACCATCCCTGGTGAGCGTGGCCTTCTCATCCAGACCCTGCCGGGGACCAGCCTCCGCTGCCAAGGGCCACAGCCTTGCAGGATGCAGAGTAGCGACCTGGGCCTCAGCCCGGGGGACCCCCTTTCCGCTGGGCCGGCACGGCCTTCCTAGCCTACAGCCCACACTGGCCTCAGAGTGCTCCAAACACAGCCGCTCACTTGGGCCTCCTGCCCCAGGGCCTTTTCTCTGCCTCCCAAACCCACAGACTCACCTAGCTCTGTGGCCAAAGCACTCTCCCGAGCAGCTCACCCAGCCTCAGCCCCCGGGGCCTCAGTCACCTGCACACCCACAGCAGACCTCACTCGGGGGCACAGGGCCCTGCTTTCCCAGAAGCCTGGCTCAAGCATCAGACACCGTCTGACCAGTGCTCCGCTGCCGCAGCACAGCTGTCTTCATGGTCAGATGCCCGGGTGTAGAGGGGAGGAAGCGGGATTCCAGCACTTGGAGCCAGCCATCAGCAGAGGTGTGACACATCCTAGGGGAGTTGGTCAGGGAGCGTGTCGGGTCTCCTCACGGTTAGGGCTGTGTGCAGCCCTCCATGCCTACCTGGGAGGTGGCCACTGTAGGACTGAGCTCCCCCCAAGGCCCCTGACCCCACCTCACCCCCCAGCCATGTAGCTCTGGAGGCCCCCGGGGCACAGGGCCAGCACAGCCTGCCCTGTCCACACCTGGGCCGGGCCAGGAAGGAGGGGCGCTGAAGGGTCAAGGCCCCCAGCTGCTTTGTGCTGTGCGTGAGGAAGCATCTTCTAGACCCACATGGCCCCTCTCCGGACTCGTGCACTTGAAAAGGCGGCCACGCCGGGATTGGAGCCCCCAGAGAGTCCAAGGGTAGCGGAGGCCTGCAGGGAGCTGTGGTGATCTTCAGGTGGCCGTGGACTCCTGGCAGCTGAGAGTTCAGCTCTGGCAAAGGCTTGCTTATTCATCCACTCAGCCACAGCCAGCCAGTGCCAGGCATTATACTGGCTGCTGGGACACAGCAGTGGGATTTAGCCGGGTGAGGCGGCGCACACCTGCCATCCCAGCTACTCAGGAGGCTGCAGTCAGAGGCCAGCGTGGGCGACTTAGCAAGACCCCATCTCAAAGTAAAAACTTAACCAAAGAGCTGGGGCTGTAGCTCAGTGCTCCCTGGGTTCAATCCCCAGCACCACAGGAACAAGGCAGAACTTACAAACTTCCCTGGCTTCTGCTGCAGGGGGAGGAGAACAAGATGAAGCGGTGACGCGCTCCGCGGTGGTGATCAGGGGCAGATGGAGCATGGAGAGGAGTGTTTGAGGTGCACTCTGACGCGGTGGGAGGAGGCCTCCCTGGTGCCAGACCGGTGACTGGCCCTGAAGAGTGTCAGGGAAGCCCCGGGGCTGGAGCACCCCGGTGAGCCAGAGGGACGGTGGGGGAGGCAGGATGGCGGCAGCCATGCCGTGACCTGGGAGTGTCTCAGGAGATGCTGTCGGGGTCGAGTGGTGGCCCCAAGAGCCTGTGCTGGAGTCCTATCTGAGGAGCCTACCAGTGTGTGAAATCTTGCGAGTGCAGTCACCCCAGGGAGCCTCGAGATGCGCTCAGCCGATCATCCAACACAAGGGCTTTTGCAGTGACATGCAGAGGACAGACGTGGGGAAAGAGGGGAGACCAGGAAAGCCAGAGGCAAAGACTGCAGTGGCCAGGGGTCAGGGGCTGGGGAAGGCAGGGGGGGTCGGGACGGGGCCCTGCCGCCACTCCATTTCAGCCTTGCCTTGCAGAACTGTGAGAGAAGACAGCTCTGCTGTCATCTGTGACCACCACCCTGGGAAACTGACACAGATGGGCCTCCGGGAGGCCTGGGCTGGGAGGGACACGGCCCCTGGTCAGAGGGTCCCTCCTCCTGCTGTGTGCGGAAGTCCAGGGATATCAGGCACAGACAGCAGCTGGGAATGAGCTGCTGGGTCCCAGGCTGCGGCTGGATGGTGCCAGGTCTGGTGACCCCAGGCTCTTCCTGTCCTGCCCAAAGAATTGGCAGGGACAGCAGATGAATGGGTGGACACAACTTTCATTTAAGGTAGAGAAAGAAAGGGAAAGTGCAGAAGAGAACAGCAAGAAGAGATACGGACCGGGTGCAGGAGTGGCCACTGCAAAAACAGGAAGCATCGGACAGCAGGGTCTCAGAGGCAGCGGTCAGTGGCCACTGTCTTTCGTATCCGCCCAGACTCTGACTGGGAGGAAGCTGCTCTGCCCACGCAGCCTGGCTGTGATGCACACATCACATCCTGTTGATCGGTCTCCAGTCAGGCTTGGGTTACATCCGAAACCTATTTTCAGCCAGCCTGCAGTGCCCTAGTCTCCTGCCTCAGGGCACAGGCCCCAAAGTCCTGAAAGCAGGGACGGGTAGGCGGATGGCTGGCTGGGGAAGGAAGCCCTGGACAGTGGGGCCCAGGCCTTTGGACTTGGTGAGCCAAGCGGGGAAGGGCCCTGCGCCCCAGGGCCAGGGGAGTCCGCTCTTGTGAGGGCCCAAGAGATGGTGTCATCGTAGGACGGGAGCAGGCCCTGAAAACCCGCACAGCCTTCAGAAAGCAGAGGAGAGAGGCCTGAGCCAGGTGGGTTGGGGCCGGCGCATGGCGTGTGGAGCCAAGCCAAGCGCCTGGCCCCTGCGGTGGCTCACTGCCTTTGAAACTGGTGTGGGTCCCCTGCCTTCCCTCTTCGCTCTCTCCCACCCCCACCCGTGCTTTGTCAGCAGCAGCTCAGCACCTGAAGTCCCTCGAACCGCCTTCTGGTCATTTCAGTAATGAGTGACGGACTCCAGGCCCGCCTTCCCGGCCTCCATGCTGGGCTGGGCTGTCTTCATCCACCTGTGGAACACAATTGAAAACAGACTCCCTCCCACTGCTTGGAAATTCCCAGAGAGGACACCCCGGGGCCCCAAAGGGACAGAGGGCAGCAGGCAGGATATACATGGCGTGATGGGACAATGAGATGGATGTTTACCTTTTTAAAATACATTACAATAAAAGACACATTGCTGGTAATCTCCCTCAAAATCTCCCTCAAAATCTCCCTCTTGCTCCAAACACACTGCCCCGTTGTTCCTGCCACTTTCTGAAGCAGATCTGGAAGTCCTCTTTCGTGAGTGTTTACAGGGTGTGACAAAAACTCGCGGACTGCTGCTGCTGAGCACCATCCAAGGAAGGGCAGGCTTGTAAAAGCATCACAGCGCGTCTCATCCACCCTGCTCGCTGGATCTGTCACCGTGCAACTTCTGGCTCTTCCCCAAAGTCAAAATGCCCAGTACAGGTTAACATTTTAAATCAAATCAGGACATTAAGGCAGTGACAGTAATGCCACTAAAGACACTCAGGAAAGAGGACTCCCAGCACTGCTTCGGAAGATGGCAAGCAGGACGGGATGAGCGTGTTGGGGGGCTCTTCAGGGGGTCAGTGTCAGAGCAGTACTTTTGGGAGGGCGTGCTGCAGGCAAGGCAGGCCCGCTGAAGCTACTGAGTCCGTTTGATTTGCTTGGCCCCAGCTTAGGACGACTAAGCAACGAACCCAAGCCTGGACCCTGGTGATGGTCCTGGTACACGGTGCCGGCCTCCTGTCAAGGGGAGTCAGGGCTGTGTGTGTTCTGGGGGAGCAGCCTAGACTTCTCAAGGTCGGGGTACTCCGTCCTGGAACTTGATGTTTTTAGATCTTGGAGTTAACTCTGCCCACCCTGGCTCTGGGAAGTTGTCCGGCCTCAGCTGCTAGCTGCTCCCTGTCCCTCCTAAGGGACCCATCCCTCAGCGGACTTCCAGGGTGCCAGGCCCAATTTCAGCTCCAACCGAGGCCCTGGGCCGCACCCACCCCACCTGCAGGGGGAGCCAGAGCAGAGCGACCACGTGATTGGATGGGACACAGCCCCAGCACCTCCCAGGGGAGAACTCAGACCCTCCTCTTACCCAGAAGGGCTGTCTCTGAAACACTCCCTGACTTGCGCTGAGGGACACTGTCCCCAAGCAGAGCGCAGTTAGTTCGGCAGAGCCAGGAGTTGTAACCAACTCCGATTGGTACGCCATGGGAAAGATGAACCCTTGGCACATTAAACCCCATGGATCCCGCAGCTGACTTTGGGGTTGTGTGGCAGGGGTCAGTGCTGGAAAGGTTAGACTGCTGGGCCCTGGGCGGGGAAGGGAGGTTTCTGAGAAGAAGCTGGTCTACATGTGGAGTGTCCCCTGGTACAGATCCGGCTTTCACCCTCAGAAAAGCCCTGGGAGTCCACAGGCCCCAGAGCATGTTTCCACACCACCTTCGTGAGGTCCTCCCCACACAGTCCCTATGCCAGGCATGAGTAGCTGGAGCCCAGAGAAACTGAGTCACGGCCGGCCCGCACGGGAACTCAGAGGCAGAGCTTGGTTCTCCTGACCCCTGTGATTTTTCACACTGTGTCCCTCCTGAAGAGCTGGAGCCCACCCAGAACAGGTCTGAGGCCTAATTTAGGGGCAGTGCTTGGTGTGGCTATCAGAACTGGGAGTTTGATGGGTGGCAAGCTCCGTGGGACAGGTGTGACACAGTCCAGCAGGGGTTTAGCACCCCGAGGGAGGACAGCTGGAGTTCCCAGCAGCCGGCAGCAGGGCCCCGGAAGGCACAGTTTCAGAGACACTGTGCCCATGGTGTGCCCAGGTGAGGGCATGCAGGACCATGCAGGTCTCACAGTGACCCCGAGGAATGGCTGAAGAAACTGAGGACAGGCCATCTGGAGAAGCGAGGCCACTGACGGCAGACAAGCTGCCAAATCCACGAACTTATCCGTGACAGGAGGAACAGCAGTCTCCTTGTGTGGCCCAGGACAGAGTTAGGCCACAGAGGGGCAGGAGGGAGAGAGAAGGAGAGAGAACTTGGAGCCCGGTGGGGGCAGAAGGAGAGACCAGGGCTGGTTGCTGGCTTTGGTCCCGGCTCCCCCCTCCATGCACAGCATCTGGTCCCTGCAGGCAGCCACAAGAGAACTGTAGCCCCCGGCATCCCTCCTGGAGAAGCCACATTCTCCAAAGGCAGGGCCTGCCTGGCCGAGACCTTGGGGACCGAGGAAGGACTGGCCCTGACATCAAAGCCCCTACGCAAGGCCTCCCAGGAGAGATGTCCTCTGTCTCCACCCCGGGAGTGCTGTTGCTTGGTAGCTTGCTTCCAGGTCACGTGGACAGGCCAGCGAGGGACCAGCTGTGAGCTCCCAGCTGGACAGCAGTTCTCGGGCAGGAGCGGGTGGCTCTTCCTAAGAGCCTCGTGCGTGAGCCGCCAGCAGGACCTGGGCAGACCCTCCTGTCAGTGACAGACAAGAGACATCTATTATTCTCAAATTCCCCGTTAGTTTCTTACAGTAATATATACGTGATACAGAAAATTTTGAAAATACACAAAAACGTACAAAAATTAATGCCATTTTTAATCCTACCACATATTATAATCTACACTTTAGTCTTTTTCTAACATCTTGAAGAGACCTGTCCACATGCCTTGGTGACCCAGAAGGGCCCCTAGTGTGCACAGCGAGGCCCCCAGGCCCGGACCCGAGAGCACCTCCCTGCCTCACCCCCAGAGTCCCACGTCTTGGGGCACTGAGGGGAAGTCACGGGACGGACGGAGTCCTCCCAAGGCGCTGGCCCCTGCAGCCTTGGCCTCTTGAGCCCAGGGCCACTGTCCTGGGGACCCAAACATCCTGCTCTCTGGCTGTTGCCCTCCGCCTTTCTTTGTTTGTTCCCCATTCCCAGCCTCCCCTCCACCCTCTGAAGCACCAACAGCTCTGCTGACATCTCTCAGGTGGCTGGGGATGGGGTCAGCAGGAGGACACTGTCCCTGTGATAGACAGACATGGCTGTTACACCGCGTTTACACACGGCGGTGTCTGTGTACACACACGCACGCACACACACACGCACACATATGTACATTTTCCATTGAGGACTAAATTGCTTTGTAGCCTACTTTTTACCTATATTTTAGAAGGTTTTCTTGTGCCTGAATATTCTTCAAAAATACCATTTTAAATGGCTGTGTAATTGTGCAGATATATCAAAATATATGTAACTGTTCACCTATTCCAGAGCTACTGGACTTCCTTTCTTTGCCATTCAACATTTTCTTTGTTGAAAATCTTTGTTTTTGTTTGAGACTGGGCCTCTCTAAGTGGCTGGACTCAGACCCGGTCTCCTGCCTCAGCCTCCGGAGTACCTGGGACTGCGTGCAGCTGCCACCACACTCGGCTAGTGATCATCTTTGCACGTGCTTCGTGTTTCGGTTTCTAAAATCACCTCCCCCGAGGACCTTCGCGACGCTTTGAGCTGAGTACCCCGATCTGCCCTGGCCGTGTGCTCCTCGCTCAGACAGGGATGGTGCCAGGGTCTGTCCGGTGCGACACCAGTGAGCCCCGTCGTATTATTTGAAATCAAACACAGGTATTTCAAAGCTGCAACTTATATGCTCGCCAACAAATATTAATAATTATGAAGTCATTCTAAGAGATTATTTTGTCAGTTGTTTGCCTTCCTCTCCTGTTTTCCTAATAAGATTTTGGTGGATTGATGGAAAAACCACTTTATGTGCTTTCTGTATGTTACCATTCTGAGATGTGTAGCATGTGTTTCACTAGCGTGCTGTTAGCTTTGGCCAAAGCTTTATATTTGCACTGTTGAAGCTATTGGCCTTTCCTCTGGTGACATATCTGTGAAATAGGAAGTCCTTCTGAGGGAATGGCTGTTTCAGTAGGTTAAGACGTTGGCTCCTCCTCTCCTTGGGTTCTCTGTTGTGGTGAATTGTGAACAAGCATCCTTTCCTCCGAAGGGCATTTTCCTGGAAACACCTGGGATGTGCTTACTCTATTCTGCTTCCCTGGAGGCTGGCGTCAGGTGGGAGGGGCAGGCCACTCCCTGGGATGGCCTCCAGAGGGACATGGACGGGGCACTGGAGGTGCAGAAATGGCTTTCTGCAGCTCCTGGGACCCATGCTGTGTCCCAAGGGACACCTGGTGCCTAGCTTTCCCGCTGGAGAAATGAAGATACCAGCCCAAGCCTCTTCCCTATACCTGGTGGACACCAGTCCTCGGGAATGAATTCAGTTCGTAAGTCAAGGGTCCACTGTATTTGGAGATACTGCCTTCTGGGTCCTTCAGATCACCAAGCAACGGATCTTAGATCAGGACATTTGGTGGTGTGGCTAACAAAGGATCTCTGAAGTCAGGGGATGAGTCCCTGGTGGTTCCCAAAGCTGCCGCTAGAACTGTGTGAGCTTGGGCCACTCACTTCTTTGAGCCTTGATTTCTTCTTGATAATATGGGAATATTAGAAGTGCCCCAGCTAGGGCATTGTGGGGCTTAAGTGAGAAATAATTTATATCGCGCAAAACGTTAAGGCGAGTGTGTAATTACCTCTGAGGCACTATGAAGAGTCCTCCCAGCAGTCTTGCATTGTCTTAGGAAGGGGCCAGGTGGCCACCCTGCCTGAGGCCGGTGTCTCAGTACCTCCCGTGCTGACCACTGCGGGCTCTTTCCTCACAGCAGTGACTGTGGACAGAGAAGAGCTGTGGACTGGTCTGGCCAAGCGATGCTTTGAGGGAGGCCAGGGCCGCCAGACTGTCACCAGCTGCGTCTTCCGGCAGGCTGTCCTGAGTGGGAAAGTGTGGAGGGGCAGCCCTTCCCAGGGTCCTCTTGGGCTGGCCCCGAGCCTGTCTTGTCCCGCGGAAGAGTCAGGCCAGCTCCCCGTGAAAAGGAGGCTCGGCCCTAGGTGGGCCCCTCCCTCACTGTGCTGCGGCTCCACGTAGCAGCACCTCACTGGCTGCAGGGGTCAACAGCCTGGGGCTTCTGCTCCTCCAGGGGACCCCTCATCCCTGGCCGAGGCCAGGCCTGAGGCAGAGGAAGCAGATGTGGTGGGTGAGCTCCCCCCTCAGCCCTCGCCTGCTCCATCCTGTAACATAAACACATTCTGGAGCCAGGCATGACTCAGGCCTCAGGAATGTAAGATCAGACCTCCTCTCCTGGGGCAAATTTCCCATCTGAAGGTGAGCAGGGGCTGGCGGGCCAGCCAGCCAGAGGTCCTGTGCTTCTGGAGGAGCAGACCAGGCAGCTGGCTGGGCGCCCACTGCAGACCCCCAGAGCCCTAGGGGGGGTGTGTGTGTGCGTGTGCGTGTGTGCATTTGCGGGAGCCGGGCAGAGGGGCTGGGCTGGGACTCCAGTCCCCTCCAGGTTCATGGACTTGGAGCAGCAGGCTGAGAGGGCGGGGCAGAGGCCAGGGCAGGATGGCACCTGGCTCTGTGCACCCGCCCTCCCTACTCAACCCTGAGCATGGGCAGACTGTCCAGCCGCCTGCCTGGGCCCAGCGCTCCTGGTACCCTGGCCCCCCTAGTGCAACCTCTGGGATGCTGGCAGCTCCTGGAGGCTGGGGCTCCCAGATACCCACTCCACCTGGCACGCCCTAGGCCAGGGTCACTCTGGGGACCCAGCTGTGTCCTTGCTTAGTGCCACCAAACAAGTTAGTAAGCGTTCTCTCCAATCTCAGAAAGAACATCCCATTGCTGGCTCTGCAGGTAGCTGTGCTGCTGGGAGGTCAGCACACTAGGCCTGAGTCTGTGTGCCAGGTGCCAGACACAGGCCGAATCGAAGCCACCCCTGGATGGGGCAGGAAATGCTGGCCCCGGGCAGAGACCTCTCTTGGCTTGGTGGAAGGGCCCAGTTCTGGGACCAGAGAAAGCACAGTCTTGCGCTGTCAACATTCACCGGACAGTGTGCAGATAGCGCGGGCCAGGTGACCTAGCCAGACCTGAAGAGTGCGGATCGGCGTATACCCAGGCCTGGGCAAGGAAGCAGGCTCAGGTCAACTCGGGAGGCCTGTGGAGTCAGGGCCGCTGCTGCTGGTTGTGCCAGCCCTGGAAGCACTGCTTGCTCGGGGCTGGGCAGAGGCTGGGGTGACTGAGACCCTGACCTGGTATGCTCGGGCGAGCCTGGAGTGGCAAGTATGCCCTGCGAGGGGCTGAGGGCCAGGCAGGGGTCAGGGGCTGCTCCCCAGCCTGGTCAGAGCTGGCCCGGCTTGCAGGTCCCTGCGGATCTGAGTCCCACGGTGGGAGGGGGTCCCGTGCAGTGGGTGTTTGTTCCCAGTTAGCGGAGTTTCTCTCCAGAGCGCAGCAAACTGAGCCCAGCCCCCAGGTCACGCCTGCCCGTGACAGTCCTCCGGCTCTCCCTCCGTGGGACAAAGATGCTGTTCAGCTGCCCTCACTGGTCCTCAGGTACCTGTGAGACCACGTGCCGGGGGCTGATGGCAAGGAAGAGGGTCCAGGGAGGGAGAGGGCCCGGAAGTGAGGACGTTCAGTGCCTCCCGGGGCCTGCTGCCCTGTGCCCTCAGAAGTGCTGGGGAGTCCACCCTGCCCAGGAGCCACCCCCCATTGCGCTCGTCTAGCCCCGCACACGTGGGCTAGCATCCAGTGACACCTGCACCGGCCTCCTTGCAGGGGTCCCGAGCCCTGGCGGGGAGGGCTGGGTCTCCAGGGCCGTCCCACTGCGGGGTGGGTCCGTTCCTTCTGAGGCCGTCGGGCAGCTCCATGGCTCCCCACCCGGTGTTCACTCCCTGAATAAATCTCTTTCTGAGTGGGAGGACCCTGGACGTGTTTCTAGCCAATAGATGGACAAAGCCAAGAAGATTTTGCAAATCAGTTAAGAACCCAGTCATTCGATGGTTGAGTTGATCAAAGCTAACTGCTGTCTGTGGGAGTGGCTCAGACAGGTGACAGCCCTTGCTCTACGAGGGTTTGGGCCTTCTCTGCAAGGTGAGATGGGAAAAGCAGCCGCCTGAAGTCCCCCTGGCAAGGAGCCGCAGGCAGCCCCTGGGGCCCGCAGGTGACCTGTGGCTGGGAGCAGAATGGCAAGTGTCCTCCACGTGTCAGTGCCAGCAGATGCACCCCACAGCGGGACACGCTGATCCACCTCACCGGGGCCTTCACATGAGATCCCAGACCCCGGACAGCTTGACAGTTTCGTGAGACCCTGAGAGGGCCCAGGTAAGACATGCCTGGGCTCCTGGCCCGTGGATCCGGGACTCGACTGCTAAGTTGGTGGGGATTTGCAGGGGACAGAGCACCATACAGGTGGGGAGCTAGAAGGCTTCAGGTGTCAGGCTGGGGGGGAGGGGTGTTCTGCCCCCCCCAGGGTCTCAGGCCAGAGGCAGCAGCTGGACAGAGGGAGGCTCCCGTCCAGGCCCAGAGCTGTGTGTGCAGGCGGTACACCCCTTCCTAGAATTACAGACCGCTGAGTGCGGTAGAAATATTCTAGCCAGGCAGGCAGGCAGGGGCGAGGCCCTCGAGGGAGGCAGTGCGGAGGATGAGAACACATCACAGCTGTGGCTGGAGGCGCACCCATGCGAGGCCAGGCCTCAGGATAAAGACGGAATGATCAGGCCTGCGCGCCTCCCCAGGGCATTATTGATGTCACCTGGTCCAATGAAGTCTAAATAGGCATCAGTTGCCCGAGTGGGTGACCAGGACCCCTGATCCATCCCTTCCTAAGAAGGCCTCTGGTCTTTCTGTGTACACTTGCTATGTGGCCTGCTTCCCATCACATCAGTATCACTTAAGCGGCTGTACTTGCAATCTTGTTGGTTGATCATAGATTGGGCCCATGTTGCGCCCACCTTGTGATTTTGTTCAGTAAAACTTCCTTTGTAAGTGGGGTCCCGGGCAACCCACTTTCAGATCCCCTCATGTCTCTCAGGAGCTCTCTCTCTGAATAAATTTTTCCTACTCTTAAACCCCATTCTTTAGAATTCATTCTTCGATTTTGGGGAACTCGAATTTGGTGTGTCCGACATCTAGCAGGTTGGGAGTTATGTTACTTCCCTGATGTCCCTAGGGTCGGGTTTCTAGGGTAGGCTCAGTGGACCGGAAGCTGGGGCCAGGATCACATACCTGCGCAGGGTGGCAGCCGTGTGAGACACTTACGTGGGCAGAGGCATCCTAGGGTGAGCACGGCAGGCCAGGATTCCTGCTCATCTGCCCGACTGCTGGGAGTGCTACTCACTTTCAAGTTGACTTTCAATAAGAACGGTTCGTCTCTTCCGGCCTGGGTATCTACGTCTGCCCTCGGCCCTCAGGGTTCCCTTTAACCTACAGAGTTGTCAGCTTGTTGTGATCTGACTTTGTAACCTCTGCCAGAGTCGCGGTCAATTTCTATTTCTCCAACCACAGCTGAGACTGGCAACTTGTTCCCAGCCTTGTTAGGACTTTGGAGTTCCCTTCTGTGAATTCTTCTTTCATAAACTAACTTTTTGGGGGATAATTTTATTAATTTGGGTTTTTGTGTGTGTGTGCTATTTTTCCCCACGGGAGCCTGCTAAGGGCTGTTTTGAAACCCAGGGTGGCCCCTCCAGCCCTCAGCAGGCTGCAGGCACGGGGCTGCTCTGGAGCCCTGGGTCTGTACCCCAGGGTTGGTCCAATGCTGGGGTGGGTGGTGGGTGTGACTTCGGTATATTTCTGCCCTGGTCGGGGACGTGTGCGCTATGCTAGAAGGAGACCCATAGCGAACTGTTCTGTTGGGCCAGAGCCTTTCTCCCTGTTGTCTTAAAGCCAGAAGGGGTGGGGGGCCGAGGCAGGAGGACTGCAAGGTGGAGCCCAGCCTGGCCAATTCAGAGACTCAGCGAGACCCTGTCCTAAATAAAATAAAGAAGGGCTGCAGACGGAGCTCAGTTCAAAGGCCTGGGTTAAAACCTCAGCACCACACAAAGCAAAGAGGGCGAGAGGCGGTGGAGGGAGCATGTGCAGAGCCCGGTGCATGCAGGGCTGAGCTGGGCACTCCGTGGCTGGTCTGGGTCTACTCTTGGTGCCTCATCTTCCCCGAGCTCCTTCTCCGCTGGAAAGACACAGGAATCCGAATCTTGGACATTTACAACATGGCCCAGAACCCGGGTTTCTGCCTCCCAGGCCAGACCCTTGTCCTGCATTGGCACAACAAAGCTGGCCAGGAGAAGCCGGCAGGGTGGTCAGCAGGCCCCACACGGGGCATCAGCGAGGGGACAGTGGCTGAGGGCTGACACTGACTCCCAGGCAGCCCGCGGACCCCACTTTCCAGGAGGAGCTCAGGGGCAGAGCACCAGGGAGGAGAGGTGAGTGACCCCACCTTGAGCTGTGAGCAGGACTCTCGGAGCTAACAGTGGCTCTGTGTCTGGTGTCGCCAGGGCCGGAAGCCCCCAGCATGGGCCCTCGGTGAGTCATGCAGGGCTTCTCCTGGGCCGGCTCTGTTGTGCCTGTTGACCTTTCAGCCCTGGCTGGAACAGCAGATGATCTCATCAGCAGGAGTCGGGGAAGCCCTGTCACTTCAGCCCAGGAAGTTCACCGCCCACAGACAGCCTGACGCTGGTCCTGGCCTTGAGAGGCTCCCGGAGGAGGGGTGGACATGGGCAGCAACAGCCCCGACCCATGCAGAGCCTGCTGGGAGGAAAAGACCCGTGCACGTGGGGTCCAGGGAAAGTCCCACTTTGTTCTCTCGGGACACAGCCGGGGTCTGGCCACCCAGCTCAGCTGTATCCTGTGGATTTCCCGGACTCAAGAGAAGCCTCCAAGGAGTGGATTGGGAATGTCCCAGAAAGGGCAGGGAGGAGACTGGCAGGGAGTCAAGGGCTGAGGGCTGCAAGCCTGGCCTGTGTGGGAAGCGTGGGAGGGGGCATGGACAGGCTCTCCATGCAGCTGGCTCAGAGGAGTTCAGATCACCAAGCTGGAACTGGGACATGGACCTCGCTGGTCAGGACAGAGCCGGGCTCTGGGGTCCAGCCAGACACCCGCTAACTGCAGCCGGAGAGAATCACTTTCCCTCCCTGAGCCTCAGCTTCCTGCCCAGCAAAGTGGCGGTCCTGTTCAGGCTGTGACAGGGCGGCCCCAGGGGTGGAGTCAGGACCAGCCTCAGGGATGAGGTCTCTGCTCGGCCCTCCCTGGAGCTTGGAGGAGGCTATGGATGGACATCTGTTGTCCCTCACCTCCTAGACAGCCCGGCCTGACCCGTGTGTCATGAACGGCCCCTTCCTCAGGACACAGGTGGAGGTGGGGACGTCTGCCAGAGCCTGGGGCCCCTGCTGTCCAGAGCCAAGGACAGTGCCATCCCAGTCTCAGTCTGCTGGTTACCATGGTGAGCGATGGCACAGTCAGTCAGAGAGACGCACAGGGATGGAAAGTTCAGACCCTTGGGCCCGACTACAGTCTGGGGCTCTGCCCTGGAGGCCACAGAGACCCACGCCCTCCTGAGCGGGCTGTGTCCCCATCTGCCTCTCAGAGGAGCTCGGGGATGAGCTGCCGTAGGATGCAGGCACCGGTCAAGGGCAGGTCGTCCCTCACCCCTGCACTGCCCTCCTGCACCCCGAGTCCGGAGCACACAGCAGGAGCCTCCTTCCTGCACCTGTGCCGGAGAACAGGAAGTTACCTGAGGGGGAGCGGCGTGGCCCTGCATGTCCCAGGACACGTTTCTGGGGCTTCTGCAAGCCCACGCTCACCCCTGGCCACAGTGCTACCCCCGCTCTGAAGGGAGCTGGGGAGTCGCACTGGGAAAGTTTGGGGCAGGCCTGGCTCTGATACCCACAGGCCCTGGGAGCCCTGCCCCAGGCCCACAGCTGGGAGTGCAGCTTGGACAATAGCCCTCTGACTGTCGTCACCTACCTGGAGAAGTCACTCCAGGAACGCCGGCCAGCATGACGTTCAAGCGCGGTCGTTTTGGCTCAGGCAAAGGCCTTAGTTGATGGCCTCTGTTTCCTTCTTCTGCCAGTCTCTACCTCCTAGTCTGCTCTGTCCATGGAGAAGCACTATCGTGTGCGTGTGTGTGTGTGCGCCTGCCTGTGTGTGTGTTTTTAGTACTGGAGACAGAACCCAGGGCCTTTGCACTGAAGTACATCACCAGCCCATTTTATTTTTTATTTTGAGACACTTTGGCTAGGTTGCATATACTGGGTTGGAACTTGGGATTCTCCTGCCCCAGTCATGGGCTGCAGGCATGTGCCACCAGGCCCAGCCTCAAAGAAGCGCTGCTGTACTCCCCATGGGTCATGCTACGCCTCCTAGACTTGGGAGGAGTTTTCTTTCCATGCCAGCCTGAGAGCTGTATCGAAGGCCTTTCAAGCCACTGAGGCACCAGGGCAATGCAGGGAGACCAGAGGATCATATGGGCCAGACCTCTTGAGAAGCACCTGGCACACACTTAGGGAAGCCTTGGGCAAGCCCCTCGGGCCAGCAGGAGATTCTGGGAAGAGTTGGGTGGCGTCCCAGGCCGCAAGACCTAGGCTGACCTGCAAGAGGCTGGGCATGGAGCTAGGGAGGGGTCTTCCTCTGCCTCCCCCTCAGCAGCTGGGGCCCCACTCATGAGCAGTCGGCAGTGACAGAATAGCGACTTCTCCGTCCCCGTTCCGAACCTGGCTGCAGCCCAGGCCCTCAGCCGGGCTCCCTGCACTCCAGCTCCAGGCTTTTCCTTCGGGAGTCTGTCTACAAAGTGGGGGCGACGCACACTCTGCCTCCTGGCTTTCCTTCTCCCTGCCCTGGGAGCGCCCGCCCTGTGGGTGTGGAGTGTTTACCGAATGCAGGTGGGGCCGCTGCTCCCAGGTGGCTGTGGACACCAGATCACTCCCTCGAAAGCTGAACGTGCAGGAACACACGCGTGTGCGAAGAGGAAGTGTGTGTGACTGCTCCAAGCCTCTGGCACCAGTCTTGGGCCCTCCTGCCCAGACGTGCTTGTCCTCTGACATCCCTGTCCTGACCGCAGGGCCCTCTCAGCCGCCTCTGAGCCCATCCCTTGCCACCATGGTCAGCAGCGGATCTGCACACCGCGGCCAGTGGCCTCCCAGGCCCACGGCCACCTTCACATCCTCTCTGCCCCAGGGGAAGACCCTCTGCTCCCTCTGCTTCCTCAGGACACAGCCCGGCTTCAGACGCAAGGCAGGCCTGCTCCTACCTGCGGCCTGCCGTGGCGGGCCCTGAGGTCTGGCTTCAGCTGGCCTCCCTGTCACCCCCCCCCCTCCACTGGCGCCTACTGGCCTCCAGCTGGCCCTGGGTGGCCCCTGCTCTTCTGCCGGTCTGGGGCCCACCCGGACTCTTCCTGCCTGTGGCGTCCCCTCCCCACAGCCCTCCAAGCCTGCAGCGTCCAAGCCAGCTCTGTGCTCAGTGCCCCCAGTTTCCCTCGTGGGCCCTCACAGCCTTCCTGCTCAGGCCCTCTTCCACACCCCCGTGGGCTGACGACTCCACGGAGCGAGGCCCTGAAGAGCTGCAGTCTACTCCGCGTGCATCCCCCTGGATGCAGGACCCTCGTCCCAACCGGCCCGAGTCAGGCGGCCTGCGGCAGAAGCCTCAGGTGTGAAGCACCCACACGGCGTGCTGGGAACAGGCTCACTCCAGAGGCCCCAGGCAGACTCCCGGGGAATTCCCAGCCCGTCCACCCTGGACATTTAACTGGAAAAGCTCCGCTGGGGGGATTCTCTACCCTGTCATTTCTTTACCACTGCTCCAGAAGGCCATCCCTGGTTGGCCTCTGATTCCTAGAAAGCAACTGCTTCTTGAGTAACAGAAAACCAAAACTCTAGACTGAGTTCTCCCTCTGATGATGAGCTCTGCTTCCGGAAGACAGGCAGGACCCAAGGAACTGAGACTGCGTGTGATGCATCTGCTTCCATCTCTTTTTTGGTTTTTTGGTTTTGTTTGGATTTTTCAGACAGGGTGTCGCTATGTAGTTCAGGCTGGCCTTGAGCTCACTATGTAGCCCAGGCTTGAACTTGCATGATCTGCTTGCCTCAGCCTCCTGAGTGCTGGGATTACAGGCATGTGCCACCAGGCCCGGCCTGCTCCCATTTCTGTCGTGAAATGAAAGACCTGGATGGTGTGGTACACTCTACCCACACTGAAGGCATCGTTCAAGGTCTCTCGCAAGGCAGGACTTCTTGGGCTGGCAACGTTTGCAGGCACTGCTGTGTGGCAGGCGCTTACAACAGGAGGAGGTGACTGGTGCCCAACACAGAAAGTTCATGGAGCTACAGCACAGCAGACCTGGGTCTCCAAGGCAGTCCTACCCTGGTGTGCACGCACCGGAGAAGTCTCAGGCCAGCGAGGACATAAGACTGCCCAGCCAGAAAGAGGGATGTCAGCAGTAGGAAGGGTTCTCAGAGAAGGTTGACACTGACATTGCAGGGGGTCCTCTGAGGACGAAAAACGGGGAGGAGCTTCCGGGATGAAGAGCTCCACAGAGGCAGTAACCAAGCACGGACAGTGGAGGAGGCAGGCGGTGGTGGCTGGGACAGAGGCAGGTCCTCTCCCCCCTTCCATGCCATGGCTGCTGGGGCCGCTTGAGCATCCTTCTCCCCAAATGGTTGTCTTCCAGAAATCATCCTCCACGTGTGCGTATCAGGGCTCATCACTCGCACCTCCAGTTGATTTCTCAGCTACTCCTGTCCTTGGCTGCAGAGAACTGCGGGTGGGGAGAAGGTGCCGCCCAGGCCCTGTGGCGGGCAGCCCAGCTCCGAGGCCAGCCGTGAGCAGCACCGAGCGGCAGCCTGGGGGCAGAGGAAGAGGAGGCACGGCCAGCTTCCCCTCACTTGGCGCTTCAGCAGGGGCTTGGCCTGTGGGAGCCTGCAGGGTGGGGGCAGAGCGTGGCCAGGGAACCAGGACCCAGGGCGCACGTTGAGGCCAAACAGCCTCTGGAAGAGGAGGCACTGAGGCATTTCCTGACTTTCAGGGTTTGGACTGGGACTCCCTGCTCAGGGTGGACAGTGGGGTCTGCGGGCTCCCAGCCCCAGCACAGCTCCGGGTAGACGCCTGCTGGGCCCCTCATCCCCAGAATGTGGCCTCCAGTTTAGGAAATGCTTCCCTCAAGACTGAAGAGTGGCAGAAGCAGCCCCAGAACCCAGGGTTCTGACATTCCACGGAAACCAAAGCAAGGTGGCATGAGAGCACTGGGGAGGGCAGGAAGGACCCGGCTTGGTCTGAGGCTCCCAGACGTTTATGTTCTCCCCATTTATTTGCCAGGAAATGGCTGTTTTTAGGCCAATAATAACAACCACCACCTCCTGTGTGTTCTCATTTAACCCTGGCGAAAACTAAGCAAGGCAGCAGCACTTGGCCTCTGTTGTGGAGAGGAGAGAATGGAGGTTCAGGAGGACTCAGGGTCCCTGAAGTCCCAGGGCTGCTGACATCTGAGCTGTGACACGAGCCCAAGGCAGGAGCCTTCCCAGCTCTCAGGGTGGAGGAAGCTTGTGCATGCGTCCAGAGAGGCGGGCAGACACTTGAGAGTGGCCGGGAGGCTGTGTGCAGCTAGGTGAGGCCAGGTGCCAGCCGGGGGTCCAGTGAGGTCATTGGTCGCCACTGACCTCGGCCATCTTCCCGGCCACGCAGCACCGCGTTGTTCCCGTGGAGCCCTGGCTCCAGGGTCTGGCAGTGAGGCCCCCACTCCCTCTCCAAGGCCAGTTCAGCCGTGCTGACCACGGTCAGGGCCATCTGCGATGGAGGGAAGGAGGAGGCAGCCATGGAGAACCTGCTTGCGGGAGGTTAGCGCTGGCTGCCTCTCCTGGACCTTTGTGAGGTGTCCACACACTGCTCGCTTCAGCAGGAAGAGAGCGCTGAGCTTGCGAACTGTGATTTGGCTGAGCCATTAATTCCGTGAATTTTTAGGACTTGATGACCGAATTCAAAACCACTCAGGATTCATTCTGCAATATGCTGGACAGGGTCCTCTGAGGCATCATATTTCCCAAATTGCAGCTACGCTGTCTTTCAGGATGATCCCGCATGGAAATTGGAATAAATTTGGAGTTTTCCATTTAAAAGTCAATGTGTTGTGGTTTTGCGAATGCCTCTCTTTCCCAAGCTCACTGCCAGGTCCCTGAGAGCTGACCCTCTGGTTACGGCCATTTAGTGTGGGAACTGCACCAGGCTCTCCGGAGCTTCGGAGTCCTGCAGTTTGCATCTGGGAGCCGTGTTTCGGTGCTTCCACCTGGCAGGCAGCCTCGCCACCGTGACACACTCAGCAGTCGGGAGCTGCAGGACAGTGGTAGATACTCGATTCATCAGTGCACCTGTTCTCCTGCCGTGAAAACGATGCTGCCTGGGTTTCCAGGGCAGCACTAGGCCGGACCTGGCTTCGCACCTCTGTGGTGTTCACCACCACCTCAAGTGTGCAGCGTGGGTTCTAACGCTGGTCTCCTGCAAACAGCTGCAGCCACAGGCAGACCACTGTGCGGCACTGCAGCACCCTTGGCCGGCCCGGTGGGCTGGTGCTGTGCTCCCTGAGATACCAAAACGTACCTCCAAGTCCACACAACGGAGACTTCTGACTGGAGGCTGGCTGGAATCAGGCTTGGTGAACTGTTACTCTTTTTTAAAAAAAATTTAAATGTGTAACTTTATTATCATTTACTAAACACACATATACAAAAATTAAGATTATTCAAAGAAAACCAATGCAAGGGAAAAAACTGTAATAATATTCAAATATAATAGAACTCAACCAAAGCAAAACTGAAAAGTACTTAAACATTTTTCCATATGATTTCTTAAAAAATCTCAAGCATTAACAAGACATCAAAGGATGTGATTTGTTTTAGAAAGATTTTCAAAACTAATATTGAACACATAGTGGTCTGGAAAAAAATTCTAATTAGCTAGTAGACTCCACATAGGCCAAATTTTTTTAAATGTAAATTTCAATACAGTCATATGACACATGATGGAAATATAATCTGAGAAATATGTTATTAGGCAATTTCATCCATGTGTATCGCAAAGTACCACACAGAGTGCCAACTTCTAAGTGCAAACTGAGAAGGTATACGTCAGTCATCTGTGATGGCCCCTTGATATTATCCAAATGTGCAGTTAAACATGAGATACCTGAGTCTATCACTGGCATAGCAGCACACTGCTTTACAGTAAACTCTTTTATACAAGTAGGATTGTGCTCTAAAGGATGAAAAGTGCAGCATGTTATGGTAAGTACCTAAAACAGTAACAGTCATTTATCACACTATCGAGTGCTGTGTACTGTACATAGCTGCATGTGCTTCTTCTGGAAACACACCCTCCTCTCCTTTGATCTCAGTGACTCTTCCTTCCCAGCACACTGATGAGCTCCAGCCTAGTCTCTATCCACATCTCTTCCTGTAGTTTTAAACACAATCTACATATGGATTCTTTCCAGATTCCAGCCTGTAACTCTGATCTCTCCCCTTCCTGTCCTGCCATTCCTACCCCTTTGAACCTTTTCTTCGTATTTCAGATTATCGATTATTCATTTTATTCATTTTAATCCTTATTTACATTTTCAGTTTCTCACACTAGAGAAACTATTCAGTATTTACACATATATGTCCTATTTATTTCACTTAAGAGTATGGTCTCAAGCATCCATTTAAGCTATAAATGTCTCTAGTTTTTTCCCCTTTATGGCTGAGTAGTACTCCATTTTATTAAAAAACCACATCTTCTTTATCCAGTTTGCAGTTGACGGGCACTTGGGTTGTTTTCAAGCTTTAGCTATTACAAACTGCCGCTACAAACATGGGTGCACATATATTGCTGTGGTATGATGCTTTTAGTTCTTTTGGGAAGATACCCAGCAGGGGGATAGCTGGGTCAAATGGGACCTCCAGCCCTAGTTCTTTGAGGTATCTCCACACTGAATTCCACAGTGGTTGCACCAGTCTGCACTCCCACCAGCAATGGAGAAGGGTTCCTTTCTCTCCCCACAGCCCCGCCAGCATTTGTTATTGGTTGATTTCTTGATAGCAGCCATTCTTTCTGGGGT